CGTTTATAATGATGACCTACTCAGTAGTACCTCAAGAGAGCATCTGACGTCTTCCACAGTAGGCCATACTATTAGGGGTTCCCCAAGACCGAGAGGTGTTTTATCAGCTGAGGAACCTGATGACAGTGATGCTGCAAACTCAGCCATCCATTTCTCATCCAGTGATCCAATGGAAGAGAACTAGAACATGGCACAAAAGATAGGCACATGAGCATAAGAATTTTAATTCATTATTTTTTACCTGTAAGATAAACGGAAGCCACATAGCAGAATAATCATGTAAGTTTTGCACAAAATAGAATGTACCCCACAACAAGTGTCCTAAGGTACATTAACGAGAACTCATTATTATAATGAAGGCAGTGACCACTGGACCACTGAGGTTAGCAATAATACCTGGTATACGAGAGGAGATCTCTGAAACTCTCTATCAAAAGTACATTCCTGGAGAACAGAACGTAGCTTCATATGGCCCCACTTCTTTAAATAGCGACCCATGTGATATCCAGGCACAGAAGCAATCAATCTGACCTGAAATCAAGCATGCTCCGCATATGATAGATTAGTAAGAAGATCTAAAAAAACCAGGAAATGATACTACACATGGAAGGGTAAAAACTTAGGTAATTGATCAAGTACCGCTGCACTACTATAATCGAACTTTCTGAAAAAAGATGGATTGATATTGAAGTTTCCAAGTGCTGGAAAATTAACAGGAAATTCTGGCCACTGCAAATATGTAGAAAGAAAAAAATAAGCATTTCAGCATGACAAGTACAGATCCATCCTACAGCAAATAAGCCTTATCTCTATGGAAGTGAGCACACATGTAAACTTATGCAGCGAATATTATCCTAATATTTTCATACTTTTCTCAGTAACTTAATACGTACATACCTTCAAAGCACTAAGATAGTCCACTAAGTCATCTTCAAATGCACATCCTCTTGTAGAGACATTTTGATCTTTCCAGGGGAAATCTTGCATCCATAAACCTTGGCTTTTGTTGTTCCAATCAACATAGATCAGATTTGCAGTGTGTACAACCATTCTTATTCCTCGAGGATAGACTAGAAATATTGCTTTTGAATGGTGAGTCCCAAAAGATATGGGCAGTGGCGGTTTGTGCAAAATCCAATTTTCAGGCTTCTTCCTCTATGATACGTGTAAAACATACAGGGTCAAATTCTACCTCCTCAAAGTAAATTTAGTTTGAATTAAGACGCTATACCTTCATATGATCCAGTGTTCCATCACCCTCGCCATGAATAACCAGCACATGAGGGACTTTTGCAAGAGTGGGACATGCTGCGTCAATATAAATGCGTGAACACAAACATAATATGGAAAACTTATGGTCAAGGCATAGTTAAATGAATCATGACTAATTAGTAGGCAAATTCAAGTAACAACTGTCAACTTAAAATTAAAAAGCTAGTAGAACCAGAAGCAATAATGGCAAAGCTAGATTTAGAACTGCATATGTGGTGAATGCAATAAAGACATCAATATCATATTGGCCCAGCTAGTAAACTGTCTATGTATATACTCGCATGCAAAGACGCAAAGTATTCCCCGTGCAAATGGGAAAAAAAATGTAAGTTGAACTCACCAGGTATCAACCAATCAATATCCACCATGTAATTTGACAGGACGGCAAAGAGAATGTCTCCCTGAGAAAGAAAAGCCAAATCTCCAATGCAAATTCAAATTTCCTATGCTAAAATGCTCACAGTTTAAATATCTTCCCACCAGATACAGAATATGTATAAAAAACTGAAAAACATTTCTCAACAGGGAAAAGAACAATACAGAGTCTATGCAACTTAACAAAGTATATTCAGTACTCGGCAGTTGGTAGACTATCATTTGTGAGAAAATTCATCCATAAAATGCAAGATTAGAATGTCTCTTGTTACCTGTATAACATCAGTAATTCTAACACAAGATGTATTAGCCCATGATGGCAAGCCTTTCACGCTCAAAAGTCTAAAAGTCATTGGCAATCTGTCGTTGGGAACATGAAAATCGCGAATTGCCTCCACACTATTATCTTTCTTAGACAGCAAGATCCCAGATTGTACATTCTTCAAAGGGCCTCCCATTTCAACCCTCTACACAAGTGTATGATCATATCAGATAAAGAGGGGGGAAGAATCACATTCAACTCCAACGCGACCGACATTGAAAATTCCGCAAGGTGACTGAAAATTAAAATAAATGAAAAAGAAAACAACCGATAGGAGCAGGAATTAATAACTTGATGACAATACCTTAGCATGTCTCTCAGAAATTTTATCGTCCAGCACTTGTCGCAATCTCTTTTGTCCCAAATCCTCATAACCGGACTTCATATTGGAACACTGAGATTTTGCACCACCCAATGATGCATACTTGAAAAGATAATGGCCAGGAATCAGCTCTATAACATCCCCATCCTGAAGTGCCGCATTTTCCCGTGGACAAAATTTCTTTCTACCATTTCCAGAATTAACAACAACTGGATTTGTACCTTCCTACAATTAGCACAATCACCTCCACGGGATTACTCCACATGCAAACATATATCAAATTTCATCAGTAAAACTTCGGTAGGCAGGTGAGGGAAGGCGCAAGTTACCACAAGTAGTTTAGCAGAACCGTCAGCGGAGGTGGTAAGAGTGATATGCTTGCGGCTAATCCTCTTGTCGGAGACGAGAACATTACTACGGCCGATGACATTTGGGCCCTCAGAGAGAGGTATCTTTACCCCCGACTTGTCTTCCCCGAGACTTTTATCAAGCGGAATCAAATATCCAACCTTCTTCGCGCAGAATAATATTGAAAACAATTAGAGAAAGCAAATAACAGAAGAAAGGAGTAAGAGGAAATAAGTCCACTGTAATCCACCTGGAGGCGAGCCATTGCCAAGCAGAGAGGCCGTTTTGTAGAGAGAGGAGAAGAGCTTGATGAAGCCAAATGTGAAATAAGCTGATGGTGATGGTGGTGCTTTGGGGAGAGAGGCTTGGACGGAGAAGATGAACACCGAAAAATCGCTGGGGATGAAACTGTGCGTTTTGCGGCGAGGAAGATCGATCATCGCCGGGGACTGAATACCCGCCGCGGTGGACAGAGGCTGAATGCATCATATGATTCTGATCGCCGTCGAAAAAAACCCCATGCTGCGTTGGGGACTCTAATTGAAACGCACCGTCTTGGCCATCTCTGCTCTCTCTCTCTCATTTTATAATAAGTTTAAAATTAATTATTTCTAGTAAAAGTGAATGATTAAAAATTAAAGAAATTGTCATATAGTTCCGCCATAATTTATGTTGTACCAAAAAATAAAATAAAATTAGATTTTCCACCATATGAAATTGTGGGTTCGAGCCCACTCACGAATTGTACTCAATACTGATTATTACTTTTTATAGGAATTTATGATGTTTTAGAATGTTTTTTCTTTTACGGGTTAAAATAATACAATACTCATTTTTCCTATTTCAAGAAAAAAAATTAATTCTACTTAAAAATTTAATGAATTTTCATGGCTCATAAACTTATTAAAAAAAACAATCTCTTCAGCATCTTTAATCTTCTCCCTTATCAGATAGTTTTGCAAAATAGATTTATTTTATCAAATCAGATTATCAATTTAAAGAAAAAATTATAATTTTACCAACAAAATATACTTTATCAATCAATTATTTTGACACTCTATCATATGTTCTTATTGATATTGACAGATCATCTCGGATGATGAACAGTATTTCTTTATACATGTAAGCAATAATATAAACTATATGATATATTACAACTTCAATTTGCTTAATTAATATTGACTACCATACAAAGTTGCACCTTTTATTTTTTTTTGAAACTACACACAGTTTCAACTTTAAAATCTAAGCAATTTTATTTATTATGTGCAATATAAATAATTTTTATACAAAGTAATTATAGAATTAGCTTTACCTATTACATTTTTATTTTGATTTTATATAATTAAAATTTTTAAAAAGTTTTAAATACTTTTCTCAATTTATTTTATTTGACCATGTTTTCCGGTTCGGTTAGTTTTGATCAGTTGGTTTTACTAAATTTAAGTATTTGATATATATTTTTTCAAATTTAAATGTTTATTTTGTTTTAAAAGTAGCTGACTTGTTTAATTTAATTTTGATTGATATAAAATTTAGATTAGCTTACAAAATCTATTTTTTAATTTTATTTTGAAGTAATTGTGTTGTAATTCTAAGTTAGATGGTTTAGTTTTCAATTTGTAATAATCTTAATTTTGTTTAGATCTGTTGCTGGAAAGAAAAATATAACAATTTTGTATCAGGATAAATTAGTCCAAAATAAATATAGATTCGTAAAAAAAAATATATTTTAAAAGACAATATCATGCTATTATTGCATATTTAATATCCAATGAGTTTGAGGTTTATTTAAAAACTAAATATAGGAAAGTTGAGCCGCCAGCCAAATTAGAACACTATGAATATATAACATATATATATATAAAAGTATAATATTGGTAAGAAAATTTTATTCAAACCAAAATAAAAAATTAAAAAAAAAAGAAAGAAACAACGATTTCCACACGAATCTGATTAAAAATTAGTAATTAAACAGGTCAATTACAGGATGAAGAATGAAGCAAGACGGTAGCATATAAAAAGAAAATATAATGCACAAGAATTTCCAAATGCATATATACACACATTTCCAAGGATGATTAATCTCTCAATTAACTATTCTAACTGCTAACCTAACTTGCTAATCCCTTTCTCTATTCAACATATTATATATATATATATATATATATATATTAGCAAAAATATGTAACCCAACAGTTTAGGTTATAAGGTTGACCTCTATGAATCAAACTCCCCTTCTTCTACGCTCAACATTCCAGATGAAAACGCCAAGTATATCAGCAGCATGGTTCCCACGCAAGACCTGCGCCCATTCGTCACATTTCCATTTAAATTGCCATCAAACCATTCAGATTTAATTAATTTTATGTCATAAAAATTAATAATCTATTATGGTAAAGAAAAACTAATTTAAATTAATAATGAGGCTTACAGCGTGGCGCATAACAAAAAGATCTTCCTGGGGTCCAAGTACCAGTTGCAAGGTTGTGGAGATCGCTTGAAGCTGTTTCTTCTAAAGCTCAGCCTTTCGCCGCCGCCGCCGCTGCCGCCGCCCAGTTCTTCTCTGGACCCCAATCCCACCGCCTGCTTTTCGAGCGTGGCCGACCCACATACCGCACCGCCTACTTTTTTTGTTTTTTGTTTTTTTTTTAACATCAACAAATCCGACATTTTTGTATGGGGGAAATGGAAAGAACGATAAAAGAAGCAAGCTCTGGTATTAAATTGAATTAAAAATCTGCTCCAAATGTAAATGTTTCCCTTGTGGGCTGTTGTAAGAGATTTGCAGGTGTTGTGCACGTGCATCAGAAGGTGGTGGAGTTGTGAAAGTTCATTTACTTTACCTAATGGGGAGATGGACTCTACTGTATGAGAATCTGTATCATCAGCAGCATGATCCTGGGCGATCTTGTTGCCGCCACGTAACGCACCTTTACGGCTAAAATTCCTCTGCAATTTCCACAAAATAAAAAACCCAAAATAATACGATTAAATTAAAGACGTGGAAATATAAATAATTCCGTAACTATTTTGAATAATTTTGTATTTCTTTTAAAATTGGAGTTCCGCTGTGCGCTGTAAAGAGGTGACTAATTTGTATTTTTATATGGATTTTTAATTCGAAGGTAAAGAAAAAATGGTGTTTGTTTGTGAGACAAAAGAATAAGAAACAACTCACTGTAATTCTTGAATTCTGTGAAATTTCCTTGCTGGTACCGTTGGAAAAACCGTCCATATCGATGACGAAGCTTTCGGGTTTTGTTTCGTTCTGAAATCTGTTTGTCTGATCGGAGATTAATATTTTCCCGGAATCCATCGATTTCTCCAGCCCATAAACTTCGCCAGACGGTATTACCTGATCGGCGAAAGAGCCAGAAACACGATTTACGAGTTGTAGGACAATTAATGACCATTGGAAACGAGCATAATCACAAAATCCAATGGAACAGTTGAAAAGCGTGAAATACGTACCGACTTTGGATTGTCCGCCAATTCCATTGAAGAAAGATGAAGATCGATTCAATTTTTACAGAAAGCTTGGAGAAGCGGCGCGCCGAATAGGGCAATCGCTTTCGACCAACTGATTGGAAATTGGATGAGAAGAAAGAGAGCAGAGAAGTCAAAATTTGGGGGAAATTAATCCATTCTCTGTGGATGTAACAGATAAACAAACGCAACGAAATCCACTCCAGTCGAAGTTAGGTTAATGAAAAAACAACAAACCTCAAAATACTCGGAAAGATTACACAGGATCGTTTTTCTTCTTTCTTTTTTCTTTTTTCTTCTTTCTTCTTTCTTCTTTCTTCTTCTCCCTGTTACCGAACGCAGTAATATCAATAAATACAGATACGGAGATGAAATTCCAGCATTCTTTCTCAATCAAAAAATCCGAAATCTGACTGATTTTGACTGCGGCGGAAGTTGCAGATGATTTTCTTGAAGCGAAAACCGGGAAGAAAAGCCGATGAGATACAGAGAGAAACAGAGGAAAAAGAAAGAGTGATTTAATGATCGGGGAATTTGCAGGCTTCTCCTCTGGATTATATATTTATTAGGTGATTTAATTTACGTATACGACAGAGGAGAATATTGCTTTTTTTCTTTTTATTTTTCTATTAATTTATCTTGAAGACATAAAAAACATTATAATATTTTTTTTTTCTAATTTATTTTTAGAATTAAATGATTGTATAGGTATTTAGGTAATAGGATTGAATATAAGATTTTGCCTGTTCTACCCTTAGCTTAAAATTTTGGTAATTAGGATAGATAATGAAAGTTCATTACAATGACACGACATACAAAACAAGTTAAGAAGTCATATGATAATGTACAACAATTAGGTATATATTATTTCTTCCAAAAACAAAGGTATATATTAGCCAGCAAATGGCTACATTTAATTTTAAAATAGAAATATTTATATCCAAAGAAATTTGAATTAATTTTAATTTCAGTGAGAAATGGGAGGCTTTGTGAAGCCCATTCCAAACTTCCAAACCAAAAATAAAATAAAAAGAAATAAATAGAGGATGATTTTTTGTATAAAATTAAAATGGACCCATAAATAGTTGGTTTTGCAATAATTGTTGAGGCGAAGGTTAGGAAAAATACGAAACATATGCAATGCCAACAAATACCAGACTTGAAATAATCTGTCTTAATTCTCCTTTCTTTCTTTAGTTTCAATTATAACTTTGGAGACATGGAAACCTTATCTAATACAAGAAATCGAAGCAACCCTACCAGACATTGTAATGAAAATATATTATAGCATCTATTATTTATTATTTTTATATAACCATAAATAAAAAATTGTACCTACAAATGTATTGTCAATCTGAATATAATACGACCATTATTGTTAACTTTAACATAACTCAACAAATAAGGTATCAATATTATCCTTCTCGAAGAAGTTCAATCTCTAAAAAGAAAATAGCATTATCCAATTCGTTGAATAATTAATGAATTATTATATTTTCGACTTTATTTGGTATGTCATCATTAACCAAGAAGTTGCCCTCGGTCTTTTAGTTGAATTAAGCTACTATTTTCATAAAATTTTGTAAAGGTGGATAAAGGTATTATTTTATCCTTTTTGTCCTTTTTAAATATATAATAAATGTTACAAATAAAACGACATGATAGATCTTTTTCGTCACACATTCAATTCTTTTACTTTAAAATTTAATATAACAAAAAACAAAAAAGAGTTAAAATACATTTTTATTCAATTAAAATAGTTAACGATAAATAAAAAATAATTATCAAGTATCAATTATGTTCAGTGTTATGCTTTTTACTTATTTTTTAAATACACTATATATAAGAACTAAACAACTAGATCTTAAGATCTAATTATTTTTCAATATCTATAATTTAAAATATGTGGAATTGGAAGGAAAAAAACTCTTTTATCTTTCCATTTTTAAGGGTATGTACTATATATAGGTGTGTATATAAAAGGTATCTTCAGCATTTCTTTTTTATAAAGGTGAGGATTTGATATTAATATGAAAATTTCCCCCTAAAGTATTCACAAAATGTGTACAAAATATATAAAATATCAACAGTATATTTATAACTTATTTAAAACTAATTTTATTAGTAAATTCAATTAGTAATGATATTTAATTGCTTCATATTAAAATAAAGAATTATATTTTAAATATTATCAACCCTTCATCTCCGGAATGATTATTTGTAAGAACAAAGATTAAAGAGAGATTGGGTCTAATTTGAATAATTTCTAATGGACAGAAACTGAAATTACGTCATTCCACTCGCCCGTCCCAACTAAAAAAACCAACACCTGTCATTTCTCATAGGAATTTAAGAAGAAAATAATAATAATAATAATAATAATAAAATATATAAAAGAAACTCTCATTTAAGCCGGACTTGGATGGATTCTAGCGTGTGGAGCTCAGGTGGAACTCGAAGATACCATTAAAATTATAACTATATTATATGATTATATTACAATTCAAAATGTATGTATAATATATAGCTGCATATATGTGGTAAATTTAATTAATATACTTGGCAAGTTGCATAAAGTTTAGACTACACATTCTTAATTGATATAATACAATTGATGAATTAGATTATAAATAATTATTTTAACTAGTTAGGTTATTTTTAGGTTGCCAATATAAAAACATTTTATTTATGTTGAAAAGCTCTTTCACAATTGGTCTTTATTAATGAAAAGTTTATTTTATTAATGTTTTTGAAAGTTAAGAAACAGAGTAAATAAGCAATAAATTAAATTCTTTTTCTAGTTGGGTTTTATAAAGGTACAGACAGATGGGACTTGAAGACACTGGATTAAAGTCAAATTTGGCGTGGTTTATTGGGAATGCCCACAATTGACTTTTTATAAAAATTTAAAAAAGTAAAGAGTTTGAGTTGATTTTAGATCCAATTTAGGGGTTGATATAGTTGAAAAAATTAAAGTTATTTTGGTGGCTTTGTCGTGTCAATTGCAAATTTCTTACGTCTAAGATGATCTGTTTGTGACTGTTGATATGGATTTTTGCCAATTGTCAAAAATCGAAGTGAACTTCATTTTAGGGGATGCCGTAGAGCGAGCTAGAGAGGATAAACTTGTAAGAAAGAATACTATGACGCTCAAGTCAGTCTGAGTTTGAATTTGACAGTTTGAAGCTCATACTATAGGAGATAAATAGACAGTTATCTTGTCAACTATAGAACTATTTTTCAAATAGATGAACTACTCCTTGCTATTGTGACATTATATTTCACTTCTAATGTGCTTGAGTACGATTTACCTATAGGAAATTAAGTCTATCACGCTAACCTGGGTGCTCAGTGTAGGTCCTGACCATTGCACTTGACTCATGTGGCTCGCGACTCCACCTCCTAACAGTGACAATTTCAATAACTTTTGTTTCAAAGGGAAATCAAAGAAAGTCCATTGAACCTATAAACAAGTAGTTATCATGACCCGAGCTCAAACATCCCAAAATGGTGTAGAACACAAAGATGGAGGGAAGAAGGAAAGATAGAAGCAATTGATCGATTATTATTATTATTATTTTTTTTTGGAATTCAAAAAGTATATATAAAATATTGAAAATTTTGTAGTTTTTCTCCCATTTACCCTTTAAACTTTAAAAAAGTTGAACGCTGATTTATGCAAATGTTATGACAAAATTTTGTCCCTCCCTTAAAAAAATTTCAGGCTTCGCGTTTGGTAGATATCAATGACAAAATTGTTAGTACCCCTTCCCCCAATGTAATGAGGCTTCTAATATGGTTGGAAGTATGAATTTTAATTTTTCTCAAGGGACCATTTGGAAGTTTAATTTTTCTTAAGGAACCATTTGTTTTTCGGGAATGTAGATGCCTAGAATTTTTTAGATGTCCGAAATTTGGAAAATTTATAAGGATATAAAGGAATATTTGGATAACCACGTTTGTTTTGCTGGATTTATTCTCGAGAATGTATTAAATTTGTAGAATGTTCAAAAAATACTCTTACGAATATTTATATAATTTATAAACTCATTTAATATAATAGATTTATTTGAATTAATGTAATATTTTTATATATTATTCTGTGTAACAGATTAATTCATATTAACTTAATATAAATTTCATTTCAATTTTAATAGTTTTTCAAAAAGACAATCATATAATTTATGTAATATTTGGTGAAATTTATTTATCCTATTATCACATTATATTTTCTTTAAGAAGAAAAATATCAAAGGTATATTAGTCGTAAAAAAATGTTGTTTTAAAATTATATATTTATGATAATAAATATTATTAATAATGTAATTCCTTCAAATTATTAAAAATAAATGGAGATATTAGATAATTTAATTACAGTTTATATTACGTGTAATCTACAAATATACTTAATAGCATGAAGATGCTTATAAAACGATGAGTACATTAATTTATTTTAATTATAAATTTAAAAATAAAAAATAAAAAATATTTTTTTAGAAGAACTTAAAAAACTTATGAAAGTAAATATATGGAGAAAAATGAAGGGCAAAAATGTAAAAAGTGGATGTCCTCAACACAAATCTTGAAACCCGTGTTTCAAAAGGACATATAAAACTCGTAAGATGCCTCATGTATGGACATCCTAGGATAACCAGTCATCTCAAAATTTCCGGGTATCCTACATTCCCGCAAAACAAATGTGGGAATCCAGATACCTATCCAACGAGAATCTCGAATTCCTACGAAACAAACAGTCCCTAATAGTATTATTATGCCAGAGGAGTGGAGATCCGAACTTGACCCATAGAGAAGTTAGGTGATTCTCGAAGGTTTTTTTTAGTTAAAAGATGCTTTTAAGTAGTTGAATAATATCCTCAAATAAACCTAAAATAAAATTTTAAAGTTTGAAAATACAGTATATGACAAAAGTTTGATGTTATTGTTGCATAATTGACATATGTTTTAATTTTATTTGGGTTAAATTTTAAGTTTGGATTCCAAACTTGTAAAGTTGTGTTAATTTAGCCTTTGTATTTAAAGTTTCTAGTAAGCCTTTCAAACTTAGGTTGTGTTTATTTAGATCTTGTACTTTAAAAATATTTCAAACAAGTCTACACACCTTTAAGTTTAGGTATAATAAATCATTCCGGTAAAGCTTCATTAATTTAACACTCACCTATAGATTACAATTAAAATTAACTTATCACATAATCGTTTATAATGCAGAGATACCATGCCAAGTAAGTCTTAAATAATTTTTTTACTACAATAGTCTTAAATAGATCAACGATATAAACCTACTAGACACAAAGTGAAAGTTCGAAGATTTATTAAAATTGCTTTTAGAGTATACAAATTAAATAGACATAAAAAGTTCTTTAAAGTATAGATAACAAGGAAATAAAATCTTAAAAACTCAAACGCATAACTTATAATCTAATATTTTTTAATAAATATTTCACTCAACAACTACTTAATAAATTGCTAAAGCAAGTATAGTTCAACGGCAATTGGCATATATTTTTAACCAAGAAGTTGTGAGTTCGATCCGCCACCTCCACATATTGTGCTAAAAAAAATCACGTAAATAATCAAAGATGTGTCATTTTGACAGACGAAACATCATGTCAAATGAATTATAAGCCTCGTCAGTATCAGTATGAGCGTAGCTCAACAGTAATTGATACCTATCTCTGACCAAGAGGTCATGAGTTCGAATCCCCCCACCAGCACTTGTTGATTGAAAAAAAACTACATAAGCTATCCATATGAACATAACTCAATAGATAAAGACACTTTATACTTTCTTAGAAGTCGAAGTTTCAATCTCCTGTTAAATACAAGAAGAAGAAAAAAAGGAAAAAAAAAAAGCCTCAAGATCATAATTAAAATTCTTTAAATTTCATGATCTAAATAAACACAGAGACTGAAATCTAACATTTTAACACTTTGGGACTTGTGATCGGTAAAATATATCTTTTGGATGTAAGTTTTAGAAATAGCATGGACAAACTCGTATCGGTCAAAGAATAAATATGCAAGATTGACTGGCATTTTCTTCTGCATATTTATAGCCCCAATTGCTTGAGATGGCGCATTCTAAAGTTTTGGTCAGCTTTCTTGTGTAGTTGGCTTTTGAGGTTTGCATGCTAGGTTTGCGAATGGGCAGAGATTTGAATTGAGATTAGCGTTTTACTCCAACACTTGCCCACAAGCAGAGGCCATAGTTAAGAATATAACTGTTCAAACCATCTAAAAAGCACCCACACTTGCTGCACCATGGTTGAGAATGCACTTTCACGATTGCTTCGTCAGGGTAAGTAACATCCATAATCTCTAAAAATTACATTCATGCAAATATGAGTAAACATAAATGTTCGTGTTTTAGCCTACGTTGAGACAACAATGATTTTATCTGGTATTAAAACATGAGAACTATTATTTCTTCATTTCTTCTTCTTCTTCTTTTGTCTGAACTAAAGTTATGCGTACCTACGCGCACCTCAATAGGTAGGTGACCATCATGATTTGAACTCATTTCTCTATCGGTTATTTCCTTTTTTCATTGGCTATAATGACCATTAGGCCAACTAATGATGGTTTATTAACCATCTACCAATATGTCGAGTCTCATAAGTTGAATTAACATCTGATGGGGATTGTGATCCAATAGGCCAATAGGCCAACTACTTGAATCAAGGTTTCATTCGTTTGATTGTGCTTTATGTGAGAGTATTGAGCGTTTACAGGAAAGTTGGTTGCATGTCTCTGCATGCAGGGGCTGTGATGGGTCAGTTTTGTTGGAGTCTTCTATCCATGCGACTGAAAGAGACGCATTTCCTGATCTGAGTCTTCGTCAGTAGAAAACAGGAACAAATATACTTTTCTAATTTCTTTGTTGTTTTTGAGTGATTTTAACGTGGGAAGATTGATGATGACAGATCCATGCACCTCATTGGGAAGTCAGAGATGGAAGGGTTTCCTTAAATAGAAGCTCTTTTGAATCTAATCCCACCTACACCAAATATCCCGCTCTTGAAATCAGCATTTATTCAGAAGGTTTCTGACTTCTGAGTGTACTGAAAGACCTAGTTGTACTCTCAGGTACCAAGATGCCATAAAACCTTTCTCCCCGGTTCTCTTTCTTGTCTTTTTTTTTTTTTGGCTTTTTGGATGACAGTGCCCACATGATAAGTTCATAGCAAAAGCACTGAAAGTCTTACCTTAATTACATGTAATGTATTTAAAATGTTGTGTTTAGGATTTAGATCAGCAATGGGGTTTGGCTTCTCTTTGCAGAACTCTACTCTAAATCCATGAAGGAAAAAAGACATCCTAAAATGGGAAGGATTGTCCATCAGACTCTTAACAATTCAAACTAAATGCTGGGAAATATTTATCTGAATGTAAACTAAATTAAGTTCCTTTAATTTGTGCTTGATTAGGAGGCCACACAATTGATAGGAATGCTATTGTGAATATTATTGAGGTATTAAAGGTATATTAGTAATTGTGTCGGGAGATTTGGTTATAAATAGAGTCAAGGGAAAAGAATGAGGTTAAGTAATTGGTTAGTGTGGTTTAGGCTTGAGTAATACTTCAGAGAGGGGAGACTCCAAATACCTCGAATTACTTGATAGTTATTGTAGTTCTTATATCTTTTATATATTATATTTCTAGTTGGGTCGGGTTCTATTGTAATTCTGGTCCCAAAATACATATCACCTTTGGAGCAAAAATGCAAACAATGTGAAAAGAATTTGATGGTAGAGAGATGGATCCAGGAAGCTTCACAAGGCGTGATGAAAACTACTACTCCCTTGTGGCTGAAAGGAGAGGTCTCTTACAATCAGACGCTGCTCTAGTTGATGACAGTGAAACCAAAGCTTACGTGAAATTTCAGGCCAAAACCTATGGATCTACCTTCTTCAAGAACTTTGGGGAATCCATGGTGGAATTGGGAAGGATGGAAGTAATTACAGGTCATGCAGGAAAAATCAGAAAGCGATGTGGAAGAGATGACTAAGAATTACTGTCTTCTGCATCAAGTCCAAAACATATATACAAGAAATGAGCAACTGTTTAGATTTAGTTTGTTTACTTATTATTTTGAGTTGTGCAAGAAAATATGTAACTGGTGTAGGTTCCGCAACTGTGTTCCAGTTCCGAGTCAAGATTCTTTGCAGATTTAAGTGGTTATGTAATCCAGCATATTTCCAGAACGAACTCAGTTAAGCATTTGTCTTTGAACCAGCTTTATGTAATCCAGAAGCTGTTGCCAGTCAATGATACGGCATTTGTCTTTGAACCAGCTTTATGATAGAGAGTACATATAGAGCATGCACCACCTAGATCGCAGTGTTTAATAACTGAGTTAAATAAACTGAGTAATAATCTAATCAATAGTAAAGGATAATCTTTTAAGGGAAAGAAACAAAAGCCACAATAGTTATCAACTAAGAGGTCAGCTAAGGATCACAAAATACTAGTTATTGCTGCACTTACCTTCACTACTGCATGAACTTCATCTCCAAACTTATATGATGTCAATCCATAGCAGACAAAAGAAGCTTGAACTTTCTGGTTTCATTTCTTCCTTGATGCCTGAGAATGCTTAGCGATTTGCCTTCTCCATTCAAAAATTGGTATCTGCAAGAGAACCCAAATAATGGTTCAAACATTGGTTGATTTTGTAGTCACATGTGCTGACAGTCAGCATGGACTCGTAACCAGCAAGTTTGGTTCACTATCCTTGAACTCTAAATATGGAGTAAATATGCAGACGTAAAACCAATATATAATCCTTACAGCAGGAAAGCCACCATAATCTCCAGGTTCCTTAATGTCTTTGGTGACGCAACTCATGGCAGCAAGTCGGACCTGCAGACTTCTACCAGTTAGACAACTTAATCCAAGAATATTTATTAGTTAAAGCATAGCCACAAATAGTATCTAGGTCCGTTTGGTGGTAAATAGTAAATGTAACTTGGAGAGATTTACTTTTGACCCAATTGAAACATGATCACGGATAGCTACTCTCCCACCCAATGTTACATAGTCCCCTATCCTGAAAGATAATGAACCACCCAAAGTCATTGCTAGAAAAAGAGATGCCATAAAAAAGGCCTTAATCAGAAAACTGAACCTAAATTGAATAGGCAAAATAAGAAATCACAACAGAGTTGAAAAGAAGCAAAAGTAACGTACGTCACTGATCCTGCAATTCCCACTTGTCCACAAAGCATACAGCAATCTCCAATGATAACATTGTGACCAATCTGAATAGGCAGAAAGAACAGATTGATAGTCAATATGATAACTTCAACTATGGAGTATTGCCGTCATGGTGTGGTGGGAAGGGGGGGAGGGGGTTGAGGGCAGTGAGAAAAACCTGAACTAAATTATCAATCTTGGTATTATTTCCTATGACAGTATCTCTCCAACTGCATAGACAGATCACGATATTAGTATTCAGCTCAGCCCACTTCAAAAAGCAACGCCGGCCAAGTAAATATAAACTGCCCATTGAAATAGTACCTGCCCCTATCAATGCATGTATTTGAACCAATCTCCACGTTGGTTCCTATCTTAACATTCAGAATCTAAGAAAGATGAGAAGAAATATATGTCAACCACTTCAACCGCTAATATGAAAGGAACTTAATATTGGCCATATCTGTAGTTTACTTTCTACCAAAAATAACTATCCATCTCGACACCAATAATTTAGGAATCAGAATCCCAGAATCATAAGTAATTTATCAAGTACTAGAGATTTGACAATTGAAAAGCATAAGCTGAAGTGAGTCAAATCAAGTAGTTCAAGAATTCATAAGTGGATGCTGTTGTAACTAATAGCTGATATAGAGATCTAGTGCAACAGATTTCTTAAACCCTGTGTTCTTAAATTTTTCAATCGGAGGATGGACAAATAACGGAAATAAAGGTTTATGACACAGACTTGTGGTTTCTTTTTCACAGTCCCCTGCTCGTCCACAAAAAATCCAAATCCTGCAAAGAGAAAACATAGAAGGTAGCATTTGAATTTTGATGATTCACCTTGGAATTCAATGATTCATTTGATGAACAAAGATGACTAAAATATCAGAAATAATGCAATTAAACGTTGCATGGAGGACATTCTCTTGGAATTCAACATATAGGTCTGAAAAGAAGGACTACTCTGGAGAATTCAGAGAGAATTAATGTGCATAAAACTAAATTCCCCAGGGGAAAGATAAGATAAGATGCTTTTAATAGGGTTGGTAAGTTAATTCTTTCCTCTGCTATCCTTAAAATTAACATACACCACCTTCTTTATGAAAATAAACTTATGGTTCCTTTAATTCCCATGAATTCCATCAATTGAGCTAATGAAAACGAGCCTTACCATCTTGACCAATGCACACTCCGTTGTGTATGATGCAAAAATCACCGACGGTGCAATTACTAACTGCAGCATTATACCTAGAGGTTGCACGGAACTTCCGTTAAAAAGGAAACAAAAACCAAAAACAGAGCCCAAGCGCAAGAATTCATTGTTCGAAAATTATGGAAAGCTTTATTTCAATCCAGTCAAAGAAGATAACGTACCCAATCTTTGTTGATTGACCAATTGTAACAGCATGTCCTATAACAGATCCTGATCCAATATGCACACTTGCACCAATGACAGACTTCGAGTGAATTACGGCACCAGTTTCTATGAGTGCTGTTGGATCAATGCAAGCAGAATGGTGAAAAGTTCCGCCTCCATTATGCCATGTCCGAAATCCATGGCAATTTACCGCAGCACCATTTTCTACTTTGCAAATAAAACAAAACGAAGTTTAATCGTGAAGTCTGAAGTGGAACCAGATAAACTACAGTTTGATTAACATTTTCCCAGACTACATGATTGAAATTCAAGAGCTGACAAAAGCTATAGCTTACCAGAGGTGACAGAACAAGCACTTGTCTGGGTCGAGCAGTCGGAGAAACTGCAAAGGCTACCGATGCGAAATGTGAATCGAGTTCGAAAATTTGGTGCTCCGCCACCAATACACTTGTGGGAGGAACGGGCAAGTGAAGTAGACAAGCACCGAGCAGCATCGGCAGAAGCCAACCGTCTAACAAGCACTTCCATGGCCAACAGAATCAGAAAAGTATCTGTTGTCAGTGCTGAGGGAACAGCAAGGCTTCGGAGGAAGCCTTCAAGGATGAAGTAACAGTTAATCAACTTCCTCCGGAGGGACGAGCAATGAAAATACGCCTAGATTCTGAGCTCAAAAGTGGTATCGAGAAATCTCAATTAGCAGAAGTTCATTGGCATAAGTAATCCTACCAGAAGCATATGCATATGGAGCAGAAGTTCAGTAATTGAGGCAACAGAAACCAACGAGTAATTTTCCCGCAATCGATTGAACAGCTCTAGTTGGACCCAAACTGATGGACTGATGAGAGCAACAAGGCAAAAGCTGCCGGAGTCTTCCACACTTCTAAATGTAGAAGTTTGTAGGAAGATTTAGGGGTAAGTAAACTGAATCGATAGTTCACAACAATGGCGGCCGAAAATTAGAGTGTGAGAAAGAGAAGGCAACCCAGAAAGAGGGAGAGAACGGAGCCAAAACTCGATGGTGGCGGGTATAGGAGGTCAACGAAGGCAAGGCAAGACGAGTTTTCGTGGAGATTTTGGGAAGTTCAAGTATGGGAGGGTAAAAAGGGAAAATAGAACACTGAGCCCAACCCTTTTTTCTTTATTATTATTATTATTATTATTTTATCTCTTATTTATTTATTTTTCTAATTAACTTTTTAATTTTTAGCATAAGTATACGGTTCCAATTTTTTTTATTTTCTCTCAAATATATATATATATGTATATGGTTCAAACTTTTGTAACCTTACTTTCTAATAAAAAATTAATCTTGATTAATTCATATTATTGTAACTAATTAATTTAGATATCCTATTTTCACTCCTATAACATTCTAATATAGAAATTTATAAATTCTCATAATGAAAATAAGATCATTTTTCAAAAAAAAAAAAAAGTCAATTTGTTGCTGTCTTATTATTATTATTTGTTTGCCGAAAAATCTCTTTGTTGTTGCTCAAAACTTTACATTAAGTTGGTTGATAGTTATAATTCGATGAAAATACATGATAAAACTTACCTAAGATATGTGTTTATTATCCAAGTTAAATGAGGTAATTGAAGAGGTTAGAATAGACTCTTTAATTCATTTATCTAAAAAAAAATGTTTAGACAGATATCACCCGTGATTTACATGTGATTCCATATTTTAAGGTCGTTCTATAAAATTAAAAAAATTATTTAAATAAAGTTTAATTCACTTAGTATATTTCTAATACATAATATCATGATGTGGTGCTATATTTCAATTCATTATTTTAAGATCAAACAAGTTCGTAAACAAAAATATTTTTAACCTTAATTTATCCCATGAATTTCTATACTAATTATTTTTTATCCCTACATTTTTATATGTTATATTTTTATGTTAAAAAATACTTTTGATCTCTATACTATCACTGAAGTAATAATTTAGTCCGTAAATTTTAGTTTATAGACATAAAAATATATTTTTTACTTTATGGTAACAACTACAAATAAAATAAGTCGTGAGAATGAGACGAGAAAAATGTTATTATTGATATTTTTTTCGTTTGAAAGCGGTTGTTATTGATCTCACTCTATTGAAAATGATATAAGGGTAATATAATTTTTTTTTGTTAAAAAAATATGAATAAAATAAGAATTTGATAATATTTTCCTATAAAGAGTCCATTTTTATAATCTACTAAATTTTTTATCAATAAAATTAGACATTGTTAAAGAGTCTAGGAGCGTTTTCCTCACAGTATTTTTTTTCCCTTTCTTTCTTTTTGGGTTCTATTCGAATACCCACAAAGCTAGAGATTATCATGATATTATATTGTTTATTAATATTTAGCATGACAATCAAACTTAAATTGATGTAAGACCCACGTAAGAAGTGGAAGGAAAAGGGGGAAAAAAGCAAGATCCACAAAAATAGGAAAGAATAACATCGTCATAATTATTTAAACGACCAATCCATTGAAATTAAACTTTCAATTTTAAAATATACAGATGACTTTTTTAAAAGATAATAATAAAATTGGAGACATTTTTTTCATTTGCAATTCACATTATAATAATCCTGCTTAAAAACAACTTAAATTAAGGATTTACAATCCTAACCCGACTACTAAACTTCATATGAAAATATATTGAATAGATCAGGAGGTGTTCTCCAACAAAAGAAGAATGTATATGTTTATTGTTTAACAACAGCTCGTTAATTCATGGGATAACTGAGGACTCAACGTTTTGGTTTATTATTTATTGTTTCTAACTGTATTCCATAATTGTTTATTGTTTCTTGTTTAAATATGTTGGATAACATTGGCTTGTTTTTTTCCTTTACAATTAATAAAAAAAAGTAAATTTTTGTATAAAAATTAAATATTCATATTTTTTCTCTTATATTTATTATACATTTTATAACTAAAAATGATAAAATAATACTTTTATTCATGTTTGAGAAAAGAAGGGACAACAAAAAAAAAAAACTTGATTTTATTGTTTAAAAAAGTATACACAATTTGAAACATTTCTGAATGAAAAAAATAGAAATCCTCCTCGAAAACTTGAAATGAAAAATAAGAAATAAGATATCAGAGCAACATCAAATTGCGAAATTAATAATATTACGGGTTAAGTTCTGTAACATAAATTAAGCTTTGGTTCTATTTAAAGTCCCAATTGTCGCCGTGTTGTGCACTTAATTTATGGAGTGAAATATTGATGATGGGGATGGAAACTTGGAAAATGCTTCTCTTTCTACTCACCATTTTTCTCGTTCAAATGGTCTGTCCCACCATTTCCCAACTCGACTTCGCAAAATCCTTATGTTCAGACGCCGGAAATTACACCGCCAATTCCACTTACCGGAAAAATCTACAAACCTTACTTTCCTCCCTCTCCTCCGATCCCCGATTGGTAACTTCCGGCTTTTACAATCTCTCCGCCGGAGAGGAACCCGACAAAGTCAACGCCGTCGCCCTCTGCCGCGGCGATCTTTCCGGCGAGATTTGCAAAACTTGCGTCGATGACTCCACTCGGCAGATTCTACAGGTTTGTCCCAATCAGAAGGCGGCGATCGTATGGTACAATCAGTGCATGCTTCGGTTCTCCGACGCCGAAATTTTTGGGGTTATGAACAATTTGGATTCTCAATCGATTTTCAACGGGCGGAAGGCGGCGGACCCGAATCGGTTCCTCGCGGCGGTGACGGATTTGATGGACAAGCTGAGAGAAGCGGCGGCGTCGGGGAACTCGACCCTGAAATTTGCGACGGGAGAGATTCCGGCGAGCAACGAAACTGTGTACGCGCTAGTGCAGTGCACTCCCGACTTGTCGTCAGCGGATTGCGACACGTGTCTCCGTCAACGTGCGGCGCTGATATCTGAGGCCAGCATTGGAGTGAGAATATTCACGGCTAGTTGTGTTTTGAGATACGAGAATTATATTTTCTTTACTCCGCCGGATAATGCCACTCTCTCCCCATCTCCGCTGCCAACTCCGCCGCCACCTCCACCGCCGACTACAGGTATATCGCAACGTTGTCCCTATCATCTGATCTTCTTCTTCTTCCGTTTAGTGCCAGTGCCGGACAAAGCAAATTTTTTTTTAGCTCAAATTATTTCTAAAATCAATACGGATTGATTTAAATAATTACCATCAATATATTTTTATTTGAAGTGATGATAATTTATTAAATACATGGAGATGAACTAATTATTGATTAATTATAATTATAAAAAAATATCACAAATTAATCTATTTAACTGTAATTACTAATTTATTTGTTTTGATTTTTGTTATATTTGCAATGTTAGATTTGTAAGTATTCATATTGAAAGGATAGATTTCTATATATATATATGACAGAACTCATGAATATTTTGTAGTTAGTTATTTATTGTTTAAATTACCTAATAAAAATAATTATTTACTATAAACAGTAGTTCAAAATAATTTGTCATAATATTTAACACTTTTAGTACAGTTAAATTAATATTTTTAAAAGTCAACCAATTAACTTTATTTAATATAACTTATCTGTTTAATATACAAGCTAACTGATTATATTAAAAAAATAATTATTTACTATAAATAGTAGTTCAAAATAATTTGTCATAATATTTAACACTTTAATACAGTTAAATTAATATTTTTAAAAGTCAACCTATTAACTTTATTTAATATAACTGATGTGATTAATATACAAATTAACTGATTATAAATAAGAAAATACCATCGACACCTATTTTGTGGTGACTGCCATTCAATTTTTGATAAATAAGGGAAAGAAATGTAAAAATAAAATTTTTATTTTTTTTTAAACAATGAGTCATCAATTTTTAAATAGTGATCAAGATAAAGATAGGTACGGTAGGAATGGGTAAGCACCTAAATATTAATCTTATACTTATATATATACCCATATCATATATTTTTTTAGTTCAACTTTTTGGTTGGAGATATATACCTAATTTAGGTTGATATGTACACATATCATATACGAAAGTAATTAGTCAACTAGATGTTAATAATTGAAGATTTTTTCTAGTTTGACTAGATCTAAGGTGGAGATTTGAACATCTGATCTTTTATTAGATAATATATATTTTAAGTATACATTGGACGACTCAAATATTTTATTTTGATCCAATTAGGAGAATTTTAAATATTCAGACATGTCAAGCCCATGTGCATAGAGAATACTAAATTTAGTGGTCAATGAAAATTTGGTGTTGATGAATAAAATTAAAATAACCCATATATAGTTAATTAATTCTATTAAAGTATTTATTATCTTCCTTTTCTGATCTCAGCTAAATTAAAGTTATTATTTGCTTTGAAAATTTTGCAGGAAGCAATGGCAAAGGCAACAAAACTACTACCATCGTAATCATCGTTGCATCAATCATTTCTGCAGTCATTCTCATTATTGGCATTTACTTCATTTTGCGAATGAAAAACCGAAAACACAAAAGTTCACCCGGAGAAGTTGAAAGTAAGCCAAATTTCATCCTTTACTTTATGTGTTTGTTTTTTGTCTGAGTTATAGAATTTGATCATAAAAAGGATTTTTAGTTGACTACATTTTTTAATTCTGATATTTAATTAAATAGCCAGAAAGCGCTTTTACAAACCTTTTAATTTAAAAGTACTTGGTAAAGTCACATTAATTATTAGTCACTCAAATTAAATGTAATTACAAATTTGAATTTTGATCTCTATGAAAGGTGCTGCCTTCCACGAAGAAACCGATGAAATTAGCAGCATGGAGACGATTCAATTTGATTTCGACACAATCAAAGTAGCAACTAATGAGTTCTCAGATGAAAATAAGGTCGGAGAAGGTGGATTTGGAGTCGTTTACAAGGTAAAACGAAAAGAATATTAAAATTTTAAAAATTTTTCTGTAGATCAAATAATAATTAAGGATATTTTAATGGACTAAAATATGAAAAAAAAAAAAAAACCAATTCAGGGAAGCTTATCCAATGGACAAAACATAGCAGTGAAGAGACTTTCAAGGGATTCAGGCCAAGGAGGTGTGGAGTTCAAAAATGAAGTCCTTGTGATGGCCAAACTTCAACACAGGAACTTAGTCAGGCTGCTAGGGTTTTGCTTGGAGGGAAATGAAAGACTTCTCATCTATGAGTTTCTACCAAATTCCAGCCTTGATCACTTCATATTTGGTATCAGTTCATAAATTTTATATGATCCTTGTTCTTGCTTTAAAATTAACATATATATATAAACACACATTATTATATGCATGTATATGATGGTGCATAGATGTTGTCAAACGGGCACTTTTGGATTGGGAAAGACGGTACAAAATTATAAGTGGTATTGCTCGAGGACTGCTATACCTCCACGAAGATTCTCGGATTCGAATAATTCATCGTGATCTTAAAGCCAGTAATATTTTGTTGGATGGGGAAATGAATTCTAAAATTTCAGACTTTGGCATGGCAAGATTATTTGAATTGGATGAGACTCGAGGTCAAACAAACAGAATTGTGGGAACTTAGTAAGTTTAATTTACATTTTGCTTTATAATTCTTCTTGTGCATATAATATTAAATTTAAATAATTTTTTATCTTTTATTTTTGTAGTGGGTACATGGCTCCAGAGTATGCATACCATGGACAATTCTCTATAAAATCAGATGTGTTTAGCTTTGGTGTTCTGATTCTTGAGATTATAAGCGGCCAGAAAAACAATTCTTTCTGCATCGATGAGAATGCGGAAGATCTTTTAAGCTTTGTAAGTATATAAATGCATCTAAGTATAGAAAAAAAAATCTCTTTATTTTAAGGCGAGTAGAAATAAGTTTGGGATGATTAGAAATGAGTTCGGGATGACTTTAAAAAAATTGCTTTCAAGTACAAATACTTTTCTATATATATATATATATTCAGGTTGTGTTTGGGAGTAATTGTAAAATTATTGATTTTGAAAAAGAGATTTAAGTATAATTGATTATTCAAAATCACCGTTCAACAGATACGTTAAAAATTAATTAAAAAGTAATTTTAAACTTTCTTAAAATGAATTTCCTAATTTACATCGTCGGAAAGAGGAGTGATTTTATTTTTAACAATGGCAAAAGCCAAACACACCCTTAATGTTTTTAGTATTTTTAAAATCACTTTTGAATACATGGTCGTTTGAAGAATTTATAGGTTATATTTTTTCCTTCTAACTTTTTGGGTTGAATTAATTACAATGAAAAAGTATGGGGATAATTGATTTAATAATCAAAGATCTCAATAGAAATTATGAAAATTATGATGAAAATATTCAATAAAATGTGACGATGTTGATAAAAAGAAATTATAAAAAATATTTAAAATAACAAATAGACATTTCATTCTTTTTAAAATAAGTTAAAATTTATTAATATTAATATTATATCCGTATTAGTGATATTTTGTTTCTGTTTTTCATATTTTGTCAATTATTTTCTTGATTCACCCCTCAAGTTGATGTCAAATTTTATATATGAAAATATTGATATATTGATGAAAATTTAATGCGCTGTTAATAATATATATTATTGGCATTTGTCATTGACATCACGTTGGTGGATGTTTGGTAGGCATGGAAAAATTGGAGGGAGGGAACACCTGAGAATGTCATAGACGCCATACTTAGTTCAGGTCGAACGACCGAAATGATAAGATGTATTCATATCGGATTATTATGTGTTCAAGAGAATCCAGCAGATCGACCAACAATGGCTTCAATTATTCTAATGTTTAATAGCTTTTCTCTCACTCTCTCCGTACCCTCCCGACCTGCATTCTTTCTGCATAGCAACAACATCTCGTCAAGTGCAGATCATTCCCAAACTGCTCCTCTTCAAGCTTCACAAAATGGAGCTTCCATTACTGATCTTTATCCTCGCTAGCTCTCGATCTGAAACTTCATGGTTACATATTCATCTCTTCTGGAAAAAGAAAATTCGAAACATCAGCCAAGTTTAAGATATATTTTCGCCATGGCAGGATTCTATCAAAGATATTGCAGGGAGAAGACAATGGCTCCTTCAAGTTGCGGCTGCGAGGTTGTTGATTTTATAAATTTGAGATCCGGCCGGTGAACTTTCGTTAATTATATTATTTTTATCTTTATAATTCCAGATCTTCTATTTCAATTTGTTGTATTCAATAAAAATATTTTTATTCAAAATTTTAAATTAAATGTTTTAAGTTTTTTATTAAATATAATATAGGTTAAAATACCAAGTTGGTCTTTCAATTTGCGTCTAATCCCTTATTATGTACATCGTTCTCTATTTTAAAAAGTTTCTCATATAACTTAAATTTACTTTTTTTTTTAAGTTCAACAACAAGTGAGACAATAGAGATTCAAACTTACAACCTTTTGGTTAAAGATTTATACTTTAACAATGCCCTTGAGCTATGGATAAGTATGGTTGACATTCTTTAATCCGTCTCTATCACAACTTTGTTAGCTTAAATAATATACTTAATTACATGTTATATGCTCACCATATTGTTAAAGGATTATGTGACATGCCTTTTTTTTTTTTAGGATTATGTGGTATGCTTTACGTTTTTTGAGTGACAAAAGAAAAATTTTAGTATCCTATTAAGAAACTATAGATCCATAAAAAACAGAATCATCCTTAATTCATTTAATTCATTTGATAATGTAAGGAGTAAATTATCACTTTTGAAATCTTAGGACAAAAAATATAAATCAAATTCAAACTTAAAAAATGTGTAATTTACCTTTTAGGAAGAGTAGTAAAGATCACCTCGTCATTAGTTAAAAGAACCAATAAAAAAAAGAATAAACCACCCCTCAATCAAAAAGTTTAACCTAATGAGTTAGGTAAATTTAATTCATATATTGAATATCCACAGTACGGAAATAGTTGAAAAACAAAAACAGTTAGAACATTTTTTTTTTTGTATCGAGTAATCTTCCTTTTTTCAGTTGTTACTCGTTTGATGTGCTAAACCGAAAAACTTCTAGTCTACATATTTAAATAAAAGTAATCTACAGAATTTGCGACTAAAATAAAGAGAGATTAAAAAAGAGGGAAGAAATAGGTAGAATTTTGTAGATTACTTTTATTTTTAAATATGTGGATCCACTCACAAAATATATTATCCATATAATAACAGAAAGTTTACATATGACACACATTAAATGTTCCATACTTGTGTTAAAAAAAAATGTTCCATACTACGGGAGGACTAATTTTCCCACTAAACCTCATATTAAAAACACAGGTCAACAAAGTCTTCTCTCCAGCCACAAATTAAAGAATATGCATGCGCAAATTAATTAATACAGCTAGTTAATTCACGGCGTCGTTAATTTAGTTCGACTATCAGTCCTCAACAAAAGTTTTTATAAATTAAATAATTAACAGGCCTTAAGTTTTGTTGTATATAAAATTAAAACTCCCCATGTTGTTGCTGTGTAATTAATTGTTGTTGGAGAAAAAAAAAATACTTTTGATCTTATTTCTATTTCTCAAACAAATGGTTTGTCCCAAAATTTCCCAACTAGAATTCGATCATCCCTATTTACAAACGCCGACGCCGGAAATTACACCGCAAATTCCACTTACCGGAAAAATCTGCATACCCTACTTTCCTCCCTCTCCTCCGGTCCCGAGTTGATAAGTTACGGCTTTTAAAATCTCTCCGCCAGCGAGGAACCCGACAAAGTCAACGCCGTGGCCCTCTGCATTCGAGATATTTCCGGCTATGCTGCAGGGGCTGCGTCGACGAATCGAGCCGGAAGATTTTGCAGGTTTGTCCGAACCAGAAGGCTGGAATCGGAGGCAGAATATTCATGTGAGATACGTGACGAACTATATTTTCTATACAACGCCGGCGCCGGCGCCGGCTAATGACACTCCCGCGCTGCCAACCGCAGGTTCACCCATAATCTCCTCCTTGTCGCTAGATGAGTGAAATTTGAAAGGGTAGTTTATAATTTTAGCCTAATTGGAAATTCTTAAATTAATATAGTGTGGCTGTATCATACTATAGATTTTAAAATTCATGACATATCGAAGTGTATAAATTAGATTAACGGCTAGAAAATTATAAAATAAACACATAATAACTAAGAAAGTTAGAGAACAAATTTATCATTTAACTTTTTATATTTTATTTTATTTTTAAAATTTAAAAATAATTAAAAACATAATATTATTTAAAGCATCGCAACGTTTGACTAACCATTAGAAATTACTATTAGATCGTTGACTTACCTAAATATTGATTAACAAAAGTATAATTATAAAACCAATTATTGATTAGCTCCTCTCCTTAAAGTCTGATATTCAAACCTGTTCACCGATGCCATATTTATTGTACTAAAAAATATTAATTAATACCTACCCATCATTAACTATAATTACCAAAAACGTACTTATGAAATATTTAGTACAATTTTTTTCTCTCTATATAATTTTTATGTATTTTGATTTTTCTCTATTTATAATTTTTTAACTGCGATTTTTGTTATACTTTATCTAAATTATGCTAAATTTGCAAATTTTCGAATTTTAAAAGATACATTTCCCTGAATATTACATAATTACTTATTTATCTCACCAACATATGATTACATTGGGATTTTAAAAGAGACATTTACATGAATATTACATAATTACTTTTTTTTTGAGGCATACATAATTACTTATTTATCTCACTGACATGGCACAATTACTTTTTTTTCCGTACACAGCAACTACATCTTCTCGAATGCAACTGATTTTCCGAATATTCCTCTTTAGGCTTCAGAAAATGGAATCACCATTTCTGATTTTTGTCCTCGCTAGCTCTCCATCTCTGCAGCTTCCATGGTGTTCATAATCTCTTATGGGAGAAGAAATATTCTGTATCATTTTCATGATTTTCATCTACTCCTTGTTCTCCATTCTTTGAAATTAACATATGTATAATTACATTATTATAAATGTGTGATGGTGAATAGATGTTGTCAAACAGGCAATTTTGGATTGGAAAAGACGGTACAAAATTGTAAAGCGGCATTCTCGAAGACTGCTATACCTTCACGAAGATTCTCGGATTCGAAAAGTTCATTGAGATTTTAAAAGAACAACATCTAACAAAATATTGTTCCCTCTCAAACTGTGTTTTTCATTTTCTATAAATAACTGGGTGATTAATTTTGTGTGGTATTGTATTCAATAAAAATATTTTATTCGAAATTTGAAGTTACATGTTTTAAATCTTTTATTAAATATAGTATAGGTTAAAGTACAAATTTGGTCCTGGAACTTTGTCTAATTCTAGTTGTCTAGTTCTCTGTATGACTCAGTAACCTTGAATTACATGTTCACATGTTTAATAAATCTATATCACTTAATTTTGTTATTAGCTTAATACTTAAGTGCTATGGCTAATCTGAACGCTAGTTAAGATATAAAAGGTCATGAGTTCTAGTCTCATCCCCGCATATTGTGTTAAAAGATAATACTTATGCACTATCCTTCCATAGCAACAAAAATATCCATAATTTATTTTATATCAAGGACTAAATTATTGCTTTTGAAATCTTAGGATCAAATAAGAAATCAAATTTAAATTTTAAAATGTGTAATTTACCTGTTAAAAATAATAGTAACCACCTAAATCATTATTTTTCAATTTTAAAGTATGAAATGGTTAATCTTCTTTTAAAAAGGTAAAATTAGTAACAACAAACAATATGGAAATAAAAGTCTGACATCACCGTAGCTACAGTGACCAGGCACGAAAACTATTGCTTTTACGTAGATTTTTTAGTTTAAAAATTCTCTGTACACACTTGTAATATAATACATAATTTAAAAATAAAAAAAAAAGAGTTAGAATAGTTCTCATTTTCTCATTTTTCTGTATAGAGTAATCTTCCTTTTTCAGTTGTTACTTATTCGATGGATTAAAAATCAGATTACTACTGGTCAACAAAGTCTTCTCTCCAACGACAAATTAAAGAATTAATATGTGTAAATTAAGACAGCTCGTTGATTCACGGCGTAATTAATTTAATTCTACTCTCAGTCCTCATCTCTTGAGAATTGAAGGATTTAAAACGAAAAACAAATTGATCTGATGGGGACAATGCAACAAAATGTTTTATAATTTCTTTTTAGTACAAAATTTTATTTGGTCGAAAATATATGTGAGCTCTGTTCTGGTTAAACTCTGCCCAGGTTGACTACATGAGATTTTATAAATTAAGAACAGGCCTAAGTTTTGTTGTATTTAAAATTAGAACTCCCGATGCTGTTGTTGTGTAATTATTATTGATGGAGATCGTAGCGAAAAAAATACTTGTGATTTTGTTTCTCACACAAATGGTTTATCCCACAATTTCCCAACTAGATTTCGCAGCTTCGTTGTGTCCAGACGCCGGGAATTACACCGCCAATTCCACTTACCGGAATAATCTAAACGCCCTTCTTTCCTCCCTCTCCTCCGGTCCTCCGTTGATAAGTTACGGCTTTTACAATCTCTCCGCCGGAGAGGAACCCGACAAAGTCAATGCGGTGGCCCTCTGCGTCGGAGATATTTCCGGCTATGTCTGCAGGGACTGCGTCGACGAGTCGAGCCGGAAGATTTTGGAGGCTTGTCCGAACCGGAAGGCGGGAATCGTGTGGTACAATCAGTGCATGGTCCGATACTCGAACGCCGAGATTTTCGGCGTCATGAACGATTCGGATTCGGAGTCGGATTCGATTTTCAACGGGCAAACGGCGTCGGACCCGGATGGGTTCCTTAACGCGGTGAGGAGTTTGATGGAGAGATTAAGAGGAGAGGCCGCGGCGGGGAATTCCACCCGGAAAATGGCGACCGGAGAGATTTCCGCCGGAAATGAAACTGTGTACGGGCTTGTGCAGTGCACTCCCGACTTGTCGTCCGCGGATTGCGACAAGTGTGTTGGTGACCGTGCGATGATGATCTCCGAGGGTAGGATCGGGGCCAGGATATTCACGGCTAGTTGCGTTTTGAGATACGAGAATTACATGTTCGATACACCGCCGGCGCCGGCTAATGCCACTTCCTCCCCGTCTCCGCTGCCAACCGCAGGTTCACCCGTTATCCTCTTAATTTGTCCTTGTCGCCAGATAAGTGAAATTAATTAAAAAAATAATTAGGTGCTGGCCAATCAAATATGCCACGTATACACATTACATGCCATATTACATTTCTGGAAAAAAAGAAACTAATGGAAATTTAGCCTTTTTTTTTAATAGAAATTTAGCTTTAAGGACGGCTAATAGTTTTAAGGACCAAATTGTCAGATCTAATTTAAGCATTAAAAGGGTAATTTATCCTAATTTCAAATAGGTCATTCTGATGAGTTCTCTATTTAGTCTTCCTCACCTTCCAGCTAATTCTTAAATAATATATGAGTGTGTCGTGCTACTAAACTAACAGGTACTTATTTGACAATTTAAAATTAATAGTTCATGATCTTTATTGTTTTTAACTTTTTTTTCACGTGCAAAGATCAAATAAATAAAATTTTAAGAAAATTTTGATTTATATGAACTAATTATATCCAACCACATCAATTTAAAAGTTTAATGACTAAACTTATAATTAACATTTATTTTATTTTTTAAAATTTAAAAAATAATATAAAAAATAAATATTATTTATAACATCCTCATAATTCTAATTTGAGCCTAGCTTAATTAGTTAAGGTATATTTTTTACTAAAAGGTTATAGGTTTGTATACCCATCCTCAAATATCATTATAAAAAACATCTACATGATTGATTAACCTACCTATCATTAACTATAATTACCGAAAACGTACTATTTTTAGGAGGGAGTTCTATTTTTATCTATGCTATGTAGAAAATGGGACACTTTACTTTTTCTAAATGGTACGTAGAAAATAACCTATTACATATAAATGAAATTTTATCCGCCAAAACGAGCATAGTTAAGTAGTAATTAATTGACTGTCAGAGTGAGCATAGTTCAATAGTAATTGGCATATACCTCCAACTTTGAGATTGTGAGTTTGATCCCCTCACCCCCACATGTTGTATTAAAAAAAAGTTAGTAATTGGCATATATCTCCAATTAAGAGGTTGTGAATTCGATCTCCTACCTCCACTGCACGTTGCACTAAAAGAAATGAAATTAGACGGTTGAAGGAACTATATTTAGACACAACTCTAGAGTTCCAATAAAGTAGTTTCAACTTTTTCTTTTGTTTGTTAGGTTTTTTCTCCGCTATAGGTTATTACCATTTTTTTTATTCAATTTTTGGCGGGAAGTATTGATGGCAAAGGAAATACTACTACTATCCTTTGGCGAAAAAGAAAAACTACTACTATCATAATCACTATCATAATCACAGTTGTGTCAATACTTTCAACCGCCATTCTCTTTATTGGCATTTACTTCATTTTACGAATGAAGAAACGAAAACGCAAAACACCATCAAAAGAAGTTATAAGTAAGCCTCAATATATAATTTCAGTATTTTGCTTGTAGATTTAACTAGTGATAACTCAAATTAATTGGGGTTTCAATTTTAAATTTGAATCTTTGAAAAATAAAAGGCGTTGCCTTCCAAGAAGCAACCGATGAAATTAGTAGCATGGAGACGATTCAGTTTGATTTTGATGCGATTAAAGTAGCAACAAATGAGTTCTCAGATGATAATAAACTCGGACAAGGTGGATTTGGAGTTGTCTACAAGGTAATTCAAAAAACATTAAAGCTTTATTTATTTTAGATGGCAACACAAAATTCAAAAACACTTTCTCACAAACTATATATTCTGCACTAAGTAATTCAGGGAAAGTTGTCAAATGGACAAAATATAGCAGTGAAGAGACTTTCGACAGATTCAGGGCAAGGAAATGTGGAATTCAGAAATGAAGTCCTTATGGTGGCCAAACTTCAGCACAGGAACTTGGTTAGGCTGCTGGGATTTTGCTTGGAGGGAAACGAGAGACTTCTCATCTATGAGTTTCTACCCAATGGCAGCCTTGATCACTTCATATTTGGCATAATTTCATTTTTAATCTGCTCATTGTTCTTCATTCACTGAAATTAACATGTATATTTTAATATTATTGGCATCCATGATGGTGTGTAGATATGGTCAAACAAACAATTTTGGATTGGGAAAGACGTTATAAGATTATAAGTGGCATTGCTCGAGGACTATTATACCTCCACGAAGATTCTCGTATTCGAATCATCCATCGTGATCTCAAAGCTAGTAATATTTTATTGGATGAAATGATGAATCCTAAAATTGCAGACTTTGGCATGGCAAGATTATTCGAAATGGACGAGACTCGAGGTCAAACTAACAGAATTGTGGGAACTTAGGAAGTTTTTAGCTTCACTATGATATTCCCGCTTTAATGACGTGAGATTTGAGTAACTTTTTAATCTTTTTATACTTTTAGTGGTTACATGTCTCCAGAATATGCATACCACGGACAATTCTCAACAAAATCAGATGAGATTATAAATGGCCAAAAAGCTCATTGCTTTGATAGGGGAGGGGAGAATGAAAATCTTTTAAGCTTTGTAAGTATATACATCCAAAAAAATCATAGGAAAAACTCTTTATTTAGTCAAATATCTTCTTGTTTGAAAGCATTTTATATACATAAAAGTGCTTCAAGCTTAAAATATACATATATTTATAGCTACAATTTATTTAATTATATATATAACTTGCATTTTCCATTAACATCAAATGGATTGATGATGGATCTTTTGCAGGCATGGAAAAATTGGAAGGTGTTCCATTGGAAGGCAGGAACACCTAAAAATGTAATAGATAAGATATTAAGTTCAAGTTCGATCATTGAAATGATAAGATGTATTCATATTGGATTACTATGTGTTCAAGCGAATGTAGCAGATCGACCTACCATGACTTTGATAGTTTTGATGCTTAACAGTTTCTCTCTCACACTTTCTCTACCTGCCCCGCCTGCATTCTTCATGCACAACAACTACATCTTGTCAAATGGAAATGATTCCCAAAGAATTCCTCTTCAGACTTCAGAAAATGGAATTTCTATTTCTGATATTTGTCCTCGCTAGCTCTCCATCTGCAGCTCCATACTCCATACTGTGTTAATAGTCTTTTCTTGAACAAAATCATAATAAAAACATAAGCAAGGTTTAGATATTTTTGCCATGAAGGATTCGATCAAAGATATTGCAAAGATAAGAGTACAATAGCCCGTTAATCTTGAAGATAATCACAGCAGTAGCTTAAAACTTATGTGGTACTCTTACTATATTGTTGAAGGATTACATGACATGCTTTCCTTTTTTTTAGTAACAAAAAAAAATATTGTTTTAAGTAAATAAATCCAAGAACAAAAATACCCTTAATTCGTCTGATTCTTGAACTAAACTGTCGCTTTTGAGACCATAAATAAAAACCAAATTCAAACTATCCAATATACAGTTTACCTTTTAAAATATGTATAGTGTAAGATCACCCCATCTTTATTTAAAAGAACCAGCCAAATAAAATAAAGTTTCAATTTTAAAGTATGCTGCAAATGGTTATATATAATTTTTTTAAAATATTGAAAGTACTAACAATGCCAATAAAAGTCCACACATCATGGTAGCTAAGGTGATCAGCACCAGGATTATATTTTTTTTTTGTAGATTGTAGTTTGAAATTTCTCTCTGCACATTTTTTTTCCTTTCTAAAATCTCTCTGCACATTTTTAATAGAATACATAGTTAAAAAAAAAATTAAAAATGAGCTGGAACAATTCTCATTTTCTCATGTTCTATATACAGTAATCTTACTTTTTCAGTTGTTATGGATCCTGTTTATTGGAGTTAACCATAGTTGGTTAACCATAGCTAGTTTTTTTTTTTTAATCTTGATAGTTAGGCAGTTTGATTATATTATATTTGTATTAAACAATAGTTCTGTACGTTGATTATGAGAGTATCAGTAAATAATTAATTCTCTCAATTCTTGTTTGCCGTTTGACACTGTTGCTTATTTTATGGATTAAACATCAGATTATAACAGGTCAACAAAGTCTCATCTCCAACGACAAATTAAAGAATATGTGTAAATTAAGACAGCTCGATAATTCACGGCGTCATTAATTATAGTTTAATTCCACTCTCCTGATTCATGTGGTGAGAATAGATCAGAATTGAAGGATTTAAAAACGAAAAACAAAATGCGAAGATATATATTGGCCTAAAGTTGTGTTGTTGTTGTGTAATTATTATTGATGGAGATCATAGCGACGACTTGGAAAATACTTCCAATCATCTTATTTCAAATTCTCACACAAATGGTTCGTCCCACAGTTTCCCAACTAGAATTCGTAGCATCCGTATGCCCAGAAGCTGGAAATTACACCACCAATTCCACTTACCGGAAAAATCTAAACGCCCTCCTTTCCTCCCTCTACTCCGGTCCGGAGTTGCTAAGTTACGGCTTTTACAATATCTCCGCCGGAGAGGAACCCGACAAAGTCAACGCCGTGGCCCTCTGCATCGGAGATACTTCCGGCAATTTATGCCGGTCCTGCGTCCAAGAATCGAGCCGGAAGATTTTGGAGGTTTGTCCGAACCGGAAGGCGGGAATCGTATGGTACAATCAGTGCATGGTTCGATACTCGGGCGTCGATATTTTCGGGGTTATGGACTATTGGGATTCGTATTCGATTTTCAACGGGCAAACGGCGTCGGACCCGGATGGCTTGTTCCTTAAGGCGGTGAGGAGTTTGATGGAGAGATTAAGAGGAGAGGCTGCGGCGGGGAATTCCACCCGGAAATTGGCGACCGGACAGATTTCTGTCGGGACCGGAACGGTGTACGGGCTTGTGCAGTGCACTCCCGACTTGTCGTCCGCAGATTGCGCCACGTGTGTTGGTGAGCGTGCGGCGGCGATAACTCAGGCGAATTATGGAGCGAGAATATTCACGGCTAGTTGCGTTTTGAGATACGAGAACTATACTTTTTTCTATACACCGCCGGCGCCGGTTAATGCCACTCCCTCTCCATCTATTTTCTCTACACCGCCGGCGCCGGCTAATGCCACTCCCTCTCCATCTACGCTGCCAACCACAGGTTCACCCATCATCCTCCTCCTCCAAGTTCATGTTTTCCTGTTGGGAATTTTGCGGTTAAAAATTTGAAAATTATTGTCAATTTGAGGTTCAATTGGTTAAATACATTTTATCAAAAAGTCATATATATTCGAATCCCACTTCGAACTATTTTTTTTTAAGTACAAGTGAGACCCTATTCAAACATCCAGGTTTTATCTCATCCTTTTTTTTAATTAGTATTCATCTATTAAATTTGTGTACAGTAGTCTGGGAAATTTCAATTGTGTCGAGACACATTGTTTAAAAGGTAGACACCTCAAATTTATGTCAAAAATGTGCCTTCACCTTTCAATTTTGTATTAGTAATTTTCTGACCTTTCAAAGATATATTGAACACAAAATTGAAATGTTAGAGACTTGTCAAACATAAAAATAAAACTTTAAGGATTTATTGGATAACTTTAAAGTTTAGTACCTGATTAGAAATGACATATTGATATCTTAGGAATCTATTAAAAATTTTTAAAATTTGAAGATCTATTAGACAGAACGTTTCATGACTAAATTTGTAATTTAATATAATTAAAATAAGCATAGTTTATTAAAAGTAATTTCAAAATTTTCTTTTCTTTTTTGTTTGTTAGTTTTTTCTCCGCTAAAGGTAATTACCTTTTTTTCCAATTTTTTTTTTAAATTCAATTTTATGCAGGAAGTAAGGATGGGCCCGATGGCAAAGGAAATACTACTGCTATCATAATCATAGTTGTATCAATACTTTCAGCCGTCATTCTCGTTATTGGCATTTTACGAATGTATAAACGGAAAAGCAAAATACCATCAAATGAAGTTGAAAGTAAGCCTCATTATACAATTAAAGTATTTGGTTGTTGATTTAGTCACTCAATTAAATTAATTGGGGTTTCAATTATTTTAAATTTGAATATTTGAAAAGTTAAAGGCGTTGCCTTCCAAGAAGCAACCGATGAAATTAGTAGAGTGGAGACTATTCAATTTGATTTTCACACGATCAAAGTAGCAACAGATGAGTTCTCAGATGAAAATAAACTCGGACAAGGTGGATTTGGAGTTGTCTACAAGGTAATTGACAAAAATAAAAGCTTTATTATTATATATTTAGATGGCAATATACCTCAAAAACACTTTTTATAAACTATGTATTCTGCATTAATAATTCAGGGAAGGTTGTCAAATGGACAGAACATAGCAGTGAAGAGACTTTCGAGAGATTCAGGACAAGGAAATGTGGAATTCAGAAATGAAGTCCTTATGCTGGCCAAACTTCAACACAGGAACTTAGTTAGGTTGTTAGGATTTTGCTTGGAGGGAAATGAAAGACTTCTCATCTATGAGTTTCTACCCAATGGCAGCCTTGATCACTTCATATTTGGTATAATTTCACTCTCTTCATTCACTGAAATTAACATATATTTAAATATTATCATGTATGTGCATGATATGGTGTATTAGATCCGGTGAAAAGAACAATTTTGGATTGGAAAAGACGATATAAAATTATAAGCGGCATTGCTCGAGGACTATTATACCTCCATGAAGATTCTCGTATTCGAATCATTCATCGTGATCTCAAAGCTAGCAATATTTTGTTGGATGGAAAGATGAATCCTAAAATTGCGGACTTTGGTATGGCAAGATTGTTCGAAGTGGACGAGACTCGAGGTCAAACCAATAGAATTGTGGGAACTTAGTAAGTTTTAGTTTCACTGTGATATCCTCTCTTAATTATGTGAGATTTGAGTAACTTTTTATTCTTTTCATCTTTCAGTGGTTACATGGCTCCAGAATATGCATACCACGGACAATTCTCATCAAAATCAGATGTGTTTAGTTTTGGAGTTCTAATTCTTGAGATTATAAGTGGTCAAACAGTTCATAGTTTTGACAAGGGAGGGGAGAATGAAAATCTTTTAAGCTTTGTAAGTATATATACATCAACAAAAAATATAGAGAAAAAACTGCTTTATTTAGTTAAATATTTTCTTGTTTGAAGTAGTTGGAGGTTATATCTATATATTTTATAACTACAATTTATCTGATATGGTTTGCATTTTCCATTGACATCAAATGGATTGATGGTGGATCTTTCGCAGGCATGGAAAAATTGGAAGGCTGGAACACCTGAAAATGTAATAGATATGATATCAAGTTCAAGTTCGAGCATTGAAATGATAAGATGTATTCATATTGGATTACTATGTGTTCAAGCAAATGTAGCAGATCGACCTACCATGACTTCAGTAGTTATGATGCTTAATAGTTTCTCTCTCACACTTTCTCTACCCTCCCAACCTGCGTTCTTCGTACACAGCAACTACATCTTGTCAAATGCAAATGATTCCCAAAAAATTCCTCTTCAGGCCTCAGAAAATGCAGTTTCCATTTCTGACTTTTATCCTCGTTAGCTCTCCATATCTGTAGACGTCTTTATATATCTTTTGGAAAAATACAAATAAAAACATAAGTAAAGGTTTAGAATATTTTCGCCCTAAAGGATTATATTCGATCAAAGATATTGGAAAGAGAAGAGAGGACAATTGGCTGTTGATTTTGTTTTGATATAAATCTTGTGAACTTCTGCCATTTTACTTTCATCCTTGTAATGTTAAATCTCCTATTTCAATTTTACTATGTATGCATTGTATTCAATAAAAGTAATATGTTATTTTAGGAAAAATAAATCAAGTTTTACTCCTGAACTTGCAAGTTTGTACTCATTTTCATCCTCAACTTTCATTTCCATCAAATTCAACTCTAAACTTGAATATGTATTAGCAATTTTTATCTTTTTGTTCAATTTTGACTAAATTCACCTCTAATTTTAACAAAATAATAAAGTACAAAATGTCTTAAGACTTATTAATTTCAACAAACAAATCAAGCCCCGCACAAAAGCCGAATTAAAGGACAAAATTGAAGATGAAATAAAATTTTCAACCAACAGGTTGTGAGTACGATCCACCACCCCACATTTTATACTAAAAAAAATTCACATTAAATATATATTTTATATTCTTTAAAATGCAAAATATGGAAATATTTTCATTTACAAATTTTCAAACGAAAGTTTGTTAGAAGCTAAAAATTTAAAGTAAAATTTGAAATTTTTCTTTATTTAAAATTGAAATTGAACATTTTAATATTTTTTTTAAACATAGTACAAAAATTTAGGTTTAAATATCACTATGATTTAAGGACTTTTAGTTTTACCTCATCTTGATTTATGCACTTTTTTTTTAGAATTAAAAAAATAAACAATGAAGTAATTTTTTCTTTCCGGTTGAAAAATGAAATATTTGTCAAAGAGAACTAACTAATCAATTTTACAAAACATTTCAAGCAGTTAAAATTCTTACATGATTACTACCTCTAAATCTAAACTATAGACATTAAAATAAGATCAAATGATTGGAAGCTACATTGATAATTTAACCAAAATAAAAAAAAAAATTAAAAGAGGGTTAGTGCGTGGAAACAGAGGAATAAAAAAATGAAGTTGAAACGACTGATTGCATATTTGTTGGGCCAAGAGACAATTTGCCAATTTGATTGATTTTACGGAAAATGAGTCGTTGAAGAAGACTCCGCGCTACACCCATCTTTTTCACCAGACTCACCACGTGACTGCGTCCACGTCGACAAGTCGCCCTCATTATTATTTATAAATAATTTATACAACCTTCTTTAGCCACTTATTTTGAATCATCAAGAGATAATATTAATATTAGTATCAGGAGTGCATATAAATTTTTATATCGGTGTGTATCTAAACATAATTACAATCGGTTAAAGCGGTACGTGAACTGGGTTCAGAGCGTCGTGAGACAGTTCGATCCATATCCGATGTAGACATTAGAGCACTGAGAGGACCTTTTCCTAGTGCGAGAGGAGATGATTGGAAAGGACGCATCTCTTCTCCTCCCTTTACATCCTACCTGCTATTGAATTAAAAAACAAAAATCTCACATGGGCTCGAAAAAAAGAGATTTACAGTATAAAATGATGGCAATTATCTTCGTCTAGAGAAAATTGAGGAAAAGAAAAAGAAACCTCTTTTCTAAGTTAAGAAAATAATGCCTCTCTTATGCCTAAAATGTGGTATATAAAAAATTATTATTCAGTTTGAGCCCGCCGCCCCAAATAATTTTTTTCCATCCCCTGAGCAAGTTGACACAAAGAAGTGGGCGGGCGGCCTTAGAAAAGAGAAGACATGGCGCCCTCCTTCCTTCTTCTTTCCCAATGCCTATCACCAAATCTACACAACTCTTTTCTTTTTAGGTACTAGTTTTCTCTCCTAATTGAAACCATTGACTAACGCCACACGCCAATTGGGGAGTTTTTAGTTCATCCTTTACACATCATACGTTTCTCTGAAAGAAGTTGTAAAAATATGGAGATGGGAACTTCAAAAAACCCTCTCTTCCTTTGCTTCATTCTCATATTCATGGTCTCCTCCACCATTTCCCAAGTGGAAGTCGTGACCCACTTATGTTCAAACAGAGGCAACTACACCAGCGACAGCGTTTACAAGCAAAATCTTGCCACCGCACTTTCCTCCATCGTCTCAGACACCCAAATCGATTACGGATTTTACAATTTCACAGCCGGACAGGAACCCGACAAGGTGCACGCCGTCGCCCTTTGCCTGGGCGTTGTGTCGGTGGAGAAATGCAGGAGCTGTCTCAATGCGTCCACTCGAAGGATTCTGGAGGATTGTCCGAACCAGAAGGAGGCAATCGGATGGTACACCGATTGTATGATTCGTTACTCAAACAGGACCATTTTTGGGGTTCGCAACGACCGAGTGCTCGAGCCAGTTTTCATCTCCGGTCAGAACGCATCGGACATTGATGGCTACACTCAGTCACTCAGCGATTTGTTGCAAAGACTGAGAAATGAGGCTGCGTCCGGGGATTCTAGACGCAAATCTGCGGTGGGAGAAATTGGTGCACCAAAGTTGGGGACCATATTTGGGCATCTTCAGTGTACTCCCGATTTGTCCTCTGTGGATTGTAATAATTGTCTTGTTACGGCTGCTGATCGTGTTCCGACTGGAAGTACAGGAACCAGAATCTTTTTGACGAGCTGTTATTTGAGATATGAGAACCGTCTTTTCTACGACCCCTCGCCGCCGCCGCCGCCCCCTGCCGGTGGCGTTCCCTCCCCGCCCCTGTCGCCGCCTCCGACACCAGGTACCAACCATCGTCTTCCACCATTTTAACGTCTTTTTCAATTTTTGTTGGATACAAATAATTTTTACTCCAAGTTTATCAATATTAGCAGAGGAATTTTATGTAAGCGAGTTAGAGAGGAGCTAACATAGCCGTGGATCCATTTTTCTTTCTTTTGCAGACAATAATAGCAATACTGCTAGAACTGTTATAATCGTTGTGGTGTCCATCGTTTCTGCTATCATTCTCGTCGTTGGCATTTTCATCATTTTGAGATTGAGGAAACGAAAGCACAAAACACCAGAAGAAAAATTTGATGGTTGGTGGTCTATAATTGCTCTGTTTTCTTAGATTGCAGTTCTATCTGTTTTGATTGTGCAGAATTTTGATGTTCATATCATAATCTACGCTCAGGTGTTTCTTTTGGAGACACCACTGGTGAAATCAGCAGTGTAGAGACGATTCAATATGATTTTGACACCATTAAAGTTGCAACAAATGACTTCTCAACTGAAAACAAGCTTGGACAGGGTGGATTTGGAGCTGTCTACAGGGTATGAATTAAAGAATTAGAATCAGTGGTGGATAAGTATGAGGAGTTGATCAGTGAATTTCTTACTAAAAGTTGAAGTTGATATTTTCAGGGTAAGCTGCCTAATGGACAGCAGATAGCAGTGAAGAGACTTGCAAATAATTCACAGCAAGGAGATCTTGAATTCAAAAATGAAGTTCTTTTGGTGGTCAAGCTTCAACACCGAAACTTGGTTAGGCTGTTGGGATTCTGCTTACAAAAAACTGAGAGACTTCTCATATATGAATTTGTGCCGAATGCAAGCCTTGACCACTTCATATTTGGTATGATCTCATATTCTACTTTGTTCTTACTTTCACTTTGGTCTCATTGGAAAAGCCATCCTATTCCTTTCATATGGTTGACAAAGTTATCTACATATATGGACGACGATGTAGATTTTGAAAAGCGGTCACAATTAGATTGGGATAGACGATTCAAAATCATAAATGGCATTGCACGAGGAATGCTATACCTTCATGAGGATTCTCGTCTTCGTATTGTACACCGTGATCTCAAAGCTAGCAATATTTTGTTGGATGAGGAAATGAATCCAAAGATTGCAGATTTTGGTATGGCAAGATTGTTTGAGGTGGATGAGACTCAAGGCAATACAAGTAGAATTGTGGGAACTTAGTAAGTAAAAATTTTGTTTATTTTTCTTTACAATAGCGTAATGGATAATCAATTTTCATTAATTTTTGCAGTGGCTATATGGCTCCAGAGTATTTAATGCATGGACAATTTTCAGTGAAATCAGATGTCTTCAGTTTTGGTGTTTTGGTTCTTGAAATTGTCAGTGGCCAGAAAAATAATTGTTTTCGTAATGGAGAAAAAGTAGAAGATCTCTCTAGCTGTGTAAGTATATCATCAACCTTTTTTTTTCAAACCTCCTTATATAGCAACAACATGGATGATAATAGTACTAGAAGATTATGATATCAATTTATTGTATTTTCTAATTGTTTAATTTAGTATTATATTGTTTTGACATAATAATGGTTATAATCTAATTTCTTTTATTGTATCATTCACAATCTTATTATGATCTCAATAATCCATTTGAAACATCCAATCCATACACAATGCTTGACCCACATACATTTACATGAATCATTGGCTTTGAACCTTAAGGCGATAGACTATAATATGATGTATAGCCAAGTGTTAATTATTGTGCATTTTCTCTTGTAGGCATGGAAAAATTGGAGAGCAGGAACAACTACAAATGTCATAGATCAAACACTTAGTGTTGGTTCAAAGATTGAAATGATGAGATGCATTCACATCGGACTATTGTGTGTTCAAGAGAATGCAGCAGATCGACCAACAATGGCTTCGGTGGTTCTAATGCTTAGTAGCTTCTCTCTCACTCTTCCTGTGCCTGCAGAACCTGCATTCTTCATGCATAGTAACATTGATGAGTCCAACACATTGCCAAAGTCAGATCTCTGGTTGGAAACGATTCAATCTAGTCATTATGAAAATACACCCGTTCAAGCTTTGAAGAATGACCCTTCCATTAGCGAGCTCCACCCTCGCTAGAAACTGTGGAGATTTAACATTTGTTTGATCACTTATATGTATTTATTTTTCAGTAGAGCACTAAAAGTTGTGCTTAGTGAAATATTGTTGGATACTATCACTTTTCTTTTTCAGATTTGATTTGTATATCTTGATTTATGACAATGTAAGAGTAGTTTACCTTTAAACTTCCTTATGAAAGGCTAATAAGAAAATTTCAAATATTTTTTGATCGATGGAAATTGAAACTTGAGACTTGTGACAACTTTTATTAAACGGATATTTTAGAATAATGGAATGGACAATTGAAGAGTTCCACACGGCATTCTGTTCTGTCCACACCACACCCATCTTTTTCAAGCTTTCCAGAAGCACTCACAAATTTCCCTTCATTTTCTTTTGCAAACATCATATAAATAATTACGGGCAGTTTGAAAATATAGCCAAAAAAAGAAAAAATTGTAAACATAGTGGACCAATGTTTCAAAATTTCATCCATAGTCATGGTATTGCTGGTAATTTTGTTGAGATTGGTGGAGCCAAATCGATATTGGCACGAGCTAGAAACGAGTCGGGATCGAATCAGAACAAAGCGAAAATGGAAATCAGTGAAAATGGGCGCTGTAGATTTTTTGGCCGCGGGCACGGCGTTGTGGCACTGCAACAAAATTTCATAAAAAAAGGCACATTTTGGGTATTGACGCTGTGGCAAATTTTCTCATAAAAGGTACAATTTGCTTAGGTTTTTGGCATCCGTTTTGGTGGATTTTTTGTGATGCTTTAGAAGCAGTGGCTTGAGATTGTTGGCAGCAAGGGCAGAGCAACATCTAACACATTTCGAGTAATTAAATCTTGTTCTATTGTGTTAGTTTTTCTACGTAAGTATATTGAGTTAAACATTGAGAAGCTATCAAGTTTTTGTTGGGATTTTTAGAGGATGAGATATTTTTTTAGTACTTTGTGTTCAATCTTATATTTATTAGTAGAACAACTACATCTGAATGGAAGATTGGATGTAGCTCGTAAATTATTGGGATGAACCAATATAAATACTTATGGCGTTTATTACTTTTCTTATATTTCCATTTATGACATGTGATTAGCTTAGATAACTACAGCTTACCGTGGAAGGAAAATGATCAAGAGCGCTTAATTTTCTAACAAATTTTACAAATTCAAATTCACGAGAGAGCACCGGTATGGCGGTCTCCGAATTCCACAGAAAAGGTGGCCGACCGTTGAAAAGTAGAAAGAGAATGGAGGTTTACCTCCATTGCATTGACTCACACGACGCGCCAACAGGGGTTTTAGCTCCTTGTTGCAGATGGATTTCTCTGATTACAGAGCGAAAATGGCGATGAGAACTTCAAAAAACCTCTTATTCCTCTGCTGTATTCACATATTCATGGTCTCAACCACCATCTCGCAACCGGATTTCGAGGCACACTCATGTTCAAACAGCGGCAACTACAGCAGCAACAGCATTTACAACCAAAATCTCGAAAACTTACTTTCCTCCATCGCCTCCGACACCCAAATCGATTACGGGTTTTACAATCTCACCGCCGGACAGGAACCCGACAAAGTGAACGCCATCGCCCTTTGCCGGGGGGACTGGTCGGTGGAGAAATGCAGGCGCTGTGTCAATGACTCGACTCGAAAGATTGTAGAGGTTTGTCCGAACCAGAAGGAGGACATCGGATGGTACAACGATTGTATGATTCGGTACTCGGATTCCTCAATTTTTGGCGTTGGAAATGGTCGGGTGCTTTCAATTTATTTCAACACTCAGAATGCATCGGACGTCGATGGGTTCACTCAAGCACAGAGGACTCTGTTTGCGAGACTCAGAAATGAGGCTTCCTCCGGGGATTCTACTCGCAAATTTGCTGTGGGACAGATTGCTGCACCCGCTTTTGACAACATATATGGGCTTCTCCAGTGTACTCCGGATCTGTCCTTTATGGATTGCAATAATTGCCTTATTCAGGTTGTTAGAAGTATTCCGATTGGGAAAATAGGAGCAAGAATATTTGCCGTAAGTTGTAATTTGAGATATGAAATTTCTCTTTTCTACGACCCGCCGTCGCCGCCCCCTGCTGATGGAGCTCCCTCCCCACCCCTGTCGCTGCCTCTGCCTCCCACACCAGGTACCACATCCACATGTTCTTTTACTCATATTAACAGAGGGATTTTATGGAAACAAGTTGCATAGTTTTTGTTTTGTCCTCCTTCCACTTGCAGGAAATGCTACAACTGTTATAATCGTTGTGGTGTCCGTCGTTTCAGCCATCCTTCTAGTTGTTGGGATTTTCATCATTTTCAGATTGAGGAAGCGAAAGCACAAAACAGCACAAGAAAAATTTGAAGGTGAGTGAGTGGTTTATGTTTATGATGCCTCTGTTTTTGTTTTGATTGTGTAGTTTAAGTTCACGTTCATATCTTAATCTACTCTTAGGTGTTGCTCTTGGAGATGTCACTGATGAAATTAGCAGTGTGGAGACGATTCAATATGATTTCGACACCATTAAAGTTGCAACGGATGACTTCTCGACTGAAAACAAGCTTGGACAGGGTGGATTTGGAGCTGTTTACAGGGTATAACTTGAGGAATTTCAATCAATAAGGGATAAGTGAAATTCTTACTGAAAATTTGATGTTTATTTTTTCAGGGTAAGCTGCCTAATGGACAGTATATAGCTGTGAAGAGGCTTGCAAATAATTCACAACAAGGTGATGTTGAATTCAAAAATGAAGTTCTTTTGGTGGTTAAGCTTCAACACCGAAACTTGGTTAGACTGCTGGGATTCTGCTTGCAAGGAAGAGAGAGAACTCTCATATATGAGTTTGTACCAAACGGCAGCCTTGACCACTTCATATTTGGTATAACCTTGGTTCTTGCTTTGCTCTTACACATGTTGGAAAAGGTATCTTTTCAGATAATTGACAAAAATTATTAACATACATATATATGATGATAATGTAGATTTCAGAAAGTGCACCCTATTAGATTGGGAAACACGATACAAAATCATCAATGGTGTTGCACGAGGACTTCTTTATCTTCATGAAGATTCTCGCCTTCGGATTATACACCGTGATCTCAAAGCTAGCAATATTTTGTTGGACGTGGAAATGAACTCAAAGATTGCAGATTTTGGTATGGCAAGATTATTTGAAGTAGATGAGACCCAAGCCAATACAAGTAGAGTTGTGGGAACTTAGTAAGCACAATTTTTTTTTTTGGTTTTTTTTTAATATTCTTTTATAATATTTTTAAATAATCTATTGTTATTATCTTTGCAGTGGCTATATGGCTCCAGAGTATATAATGCATGGACAATTTTCGATGAAATCAGATGTCTTTAGCTTTGGTGTTTTAGTTCTTGAAATTGTGAGTGGCCAAAAAAACAATTGCTTTCGTAATGGAGAAAAAGTCGAAGATCTCTCCAGCTTTGTAAGTATATGATTTACTTCTTAACCGAGTGGATAATAATATTAGACAATTTTTATATCAAAAACTTGTTTTTCTTTTGTAGTTAAATTTAGTCTTGTATTGTTTTGAAATAACAGTTCATTATCTTATTTCTTTTTTTGGTAAATTTTACAATAGATCTTAGACCTTATTATGTCTATAATCCATTTGAGCATCCAATCCATATACAATACTTTCTCACGAGACCCCATATATTTGTCTGATATTGTTTACTTTGAAATTTAGTGCAATATACTGTAATGTAATTTAAGTGTCGTTAAGTGCCACTGTCGAGTAACCGACATTTCTTTTACAGGCATGGAAAAATTGGAGGGCAGGAACAACGACAAATGTTATAGATCCTACACTTAGTATTGGTTCAAGGACTGAAATGATAAGATGTATTCACATTAGACTATTGTGTGTTCAAGAAAATGCAACAGACAGACCAACAATGGCTTCAGTGATTTTGATGCTAAGTAGTTCTTCTCTTACTCTCCTTGTACCTTCTGAACCTGCATTCTTCATGCATAGTAAGACTGATGAATCCAATACACTATTAAAGTCAGATCACCGATTGGAAATGATTAAAGCTAGTCATTCTGAAAGCACACCTCTTCAACCTTATTCTGAAAATGAAGCTTCAATTACTGAGCTCCATCCTCGTTAGATCGAAACTCAACGACATAAGGGTATAGTTTACCTTTAAACTTCCTCATAAAGCCTTACGAGGAACTTGAAAGTTTTTATTAATGTGAGGATGAACTTTCTTCCTCCTTAGAAAGTATGAGGTTGTAAATTTAATTAATTAATTGTGTTTAATTCATAAAGATAATTGAAAACAGATATTATTTTACTCAAATGGACAACAGAAGAGGTCTACGGGGATTGTGTCCACACCACACCCATCTACGTCGACGAGTCTCCCTTCATTGTTTTAATAAATAATTAATTAATACAAAGCTTCTTTAGACGCTAATTTTGAATAATATAATCTTGCTGAATGAACCCGTAGTTGACTCTCCTATTGACCTTTTGCAGTTATTTATTTTTAAATTACGAGTTGGTCTACTCCACATCGCACTGTTTGATCTTTACAGGCTAAAACGTTTTCCTCAAATAATTTATTTCTTTATCAAATTAAAAGGAAATAACAAAATTACCCCTAGGTTAGAATGAGAATCCCATCTTTGAACCATTAATTTGATCAATTTCTTTCCAAATTTATGTGATTGCTGCGATTACACTTCGTTGTTTTTTTCTTCCCTGGGTACAACATATTCAAACCTGGCACTTTCTCGTTGACAATATATGTAACTAATTGAGTTGTGCTCGAGCTCTATTATTTACAACACCACGAGTGATTGAGTTTGATTACAATAATTTTAAAAATTTAATTTTAACAACCACCCGACCAACACAAAAATACCATTCAGTGGAATAGACATCATTCACCACCTTATTTTTGAAGTCAACCTTCAATCATCACTCCACATTTATGAAAAAAATTAACAACTGCTATAGTTGGTGAGTAAGGATGTCTATTTTACTCGTGGAACCTGTCCCATACGGAAAATCACCGTTTAGATTCTCCAGGGCGGGGATGGGGAAGGGAATAGCTCCTCGTCCCGTTCCTGCTCCATGTAATTTTTTTTAATATATACACGCACTAAAATAATTTTATTATCCTTTTTATATATACATATATTATAAAAATCATCACTCAATCTATACATCAGAGATAATTAGACCTTAGAAATTAAACAATTACATATAAAAAAAGAAAAAATAGGATAAAGTATTTTATTTATTAAAAAAAAAAAGGGAGAAAATTTCCTACTAGGAACCAATCCCCACGGAAAATCTCGAATCCAATAACCACGAAATTTCATGGAAAATTTTGCAGCGGAGAATTAAATGGGGGACGTCTCCATCCCACCCTGTGAACATATCCTATTGGTGAGTCTAGTGTTATTTTGAAATTTAAACGACACCCATTAGTAAGTAGCAAAAAATTTTGTATTGAGAACTTGGGTCACCGGAAGGACGCGTGATTAATACGGACCTGAATAACGTGGACTAACGTAATTGAAACGATGGATAAGTTCCGACTTTCCTTCTGCTTCTTCAATCTTCTCTCCTTTCACCGAAGGAAAATGAAAATGGTGATGGGCAGTTGGAGTAATTTCACAACCCTTTTCTTCCTCATCTCCTTCATTCTCGCACAGTTGATTTTTACCACAACTTCTCAACCGGAATTTTTCTTCTGGAAATGTTCAGACAACGGCAACTACACCAACAACAGCCCTTTCAAGAGAAATCTGGACAACGCACTCGCCTCCGTCTCCTCCAAATCCAACACCAACCCCCAGGGAACTGACTACGGCTTCTATAATGCCTCCTCCGGCGAAGATCCCGACAGAGCCAACGTTAAGGTGCTCTGCCGTGGAGGTGCTCCCTTGGAACAATGCAGAATTTGTGTGAATAACTCAGTCCGCAGGATTTTGCAAAATTGCCCTGCCCAGAAGGAAGGTACTGGATGGTACCACGATTGCCAGATTCTTTACTCAAACAACTCTATCAATGGTGAGATATCCATTGCAGGGGCGGGTCAAACTTATTACAACGTCAATACAGCCCCAGACGCGAAGGGTTTCAACGAGGCACGGAGGGAGTTGCTGGATGGGCTGCGAGAGAAGGCTGCCAGAGGGAGTTCTATTCGCAAGTCCGCTGGCGGCGATGTGAAGCTTCAAGCTCCGAATACGTATACCATATATGGGCTTGTTGATTGTTTTCCCGATATGCCGTTCTTCGATTGTGATGTGTGCCTCAGTCGCCTTCAGAGTTCTCTTCCTAGTTGTTGTAACGGCAGCATAGGGGCCAGATTAGTGGTGACTAGTTGCCAAATCAATTATGAGATCCACCCTCTGTATGAGTTACTCCTCTCTCCGCCTCCGCCTCCGCCCTCAGCTGCTGAACTCCCACCGCCATCTGCGCCTCCAACCGGAGGTAATGCCAATAGATTGAGGCACACAATCATCATACTCATTGTTACTTAACATTTGATTTGGTTCTTTTTGATATATGAATAAATTACAGTTACAGTTACAGAGATCATCATTGAAATTTGATTGATTACACGCACAGCCTCATATTAGCATAGCTTTCTTGCTTCCTTTTTTCTTTTTCTTGCAGGAAACGATGGCAATACGGTTAGAACTGTTATAATCGTTGTGGCGTCCGTCGTTTCTGCTATCATTCTCGTTGTTGCCATTTTCATCATTTTGAGATTCAGGAAGCGTAACCACAGAACACCGTTACAAACATTTGAAGGTGATTGTGATTAATTTATGACTCCTCTGTTTTCCCTTTTTTGGATGGAAGTTTTTCAAAGATGCTTGTAGCTTTGAACATACAAATGAGGTGAGATTCATGTCTTCATACACGCTCAGGTGCTTCTCTTGTTGACAACACTGATGAAATTAGCAGTGCAGAGACGATTCAATATGATTTTGACACTATTAAAGTTGCAACAAATGATTTCTCAACTGAAAACAAGCTTGGACAGGGTGGATTTGGAGCTGTTTACAGGGTATAAATTAAAGAATTGCAATCAGTGGTGGAGAAGTATGAGGAGTTGACCAGTGAAATTCTTACTAAAAGTTGAAGTTGATGTTTTCAGGGTGAGCTACATAATGGACAGCAGATAGCAGTGAAGAGGCTTGCAAATAATTCACAGCAAGGAGATATTGAATTCAAAAATGAAGTCCTTTTGGTCGCCAAACTTCAACACCGAAACTTGGTCAGGCTGTTGGGATTCTGCTTGCAAGGAAGCGAAAGACTTCTCATATATGAGTTTGTACCAAATGGCAGCCTTGACCACTTCATATTTGGTATAACATATATTCTTCCTTTGGTCTACACATATTGGAAAATGCATCCTTTCACATAATTGATAAGATTATTAACATATGGATGACGATGTAGATTTTGGAAAGCGGACACTATTAGATTGGGAAAGACGGTACAAAATTATAGTTGGGATTGCACGAGGACTTCTTTACCTTCACGAAGATTCTCGCCTTCGAATTATACATCGTGATCTCAAAGCTAGTAATATTTTGTTAGATGGAGAAATGAATTCAAAAATTGCAGATTTTGGTATGGCAAGATTGTTCGAAGTAGATGAGACTCAAGGAAATACTAGTAGAATTGTGGGAACTTAGTAAGTATAAATTTGTTTAATTTTCCTTTACAATATGCTTGAATAATTTATTTTGACATTATTTATTTTTGCAGTGGTTATATGGCTCCGGAGTATGCGATGCATGGACAATTTTCAATAAAATCAGATGTCTTTAGCTTTGGTATTTTGGTTCTTGAAATTTTGAGCGGCCAAAAAAATAATTGTTTTCGCAACGGGGAAAAAGTGGAAGATCTCTCCAGCTTTGTAAGTATATGATAAAATTCTTAACATCTCGATCTCCTTCATGCATAACAACACTCCCAGCTACTGATAATAGCATCAGAAGATTTCGATATAAAAGTATTGGTTTTCTGTTATATTTTAATTTAGTCTTGCATTGTTTTCATCTAATATCTAATTTCTTTTGTCGTAAATTTCACAATCTTATTATCCCCATAATCCATTTGAGCATTATCCCATTCATTTATAATACTTTGTCACTAGACTCAATTACGTTTGTGTTATATTTCTCATTTTAAAATTTAGTGCAATAAACTATAATTTAACATATAAGTGTTAATATGCGGTAACCATTGAGAATTTGTTTTTAGGCATGGAAAAATTGGAAGGCAGGAACAACTATAAATGTCATAGATTCTGCACTTAGTGCCGGTTCAAGAATTGAAATGATAAGATGTGTTCATATTGGACTACTATGTGTTCAAGAGAATGCAGCAGATCGACCAACAATGACTTCAGTGGTACTAATGCTTAGTAGCTTCTCTCTCAGTCTCCCAGTACCTTTTGAACCTGCATTCTTTATGGACAGTACATTGACAAAGTCAAATCCATGGTTGGAAATGACTCAAGCTAGTAACTCTGGAAGTACTCCCCTCCAACGTTCTGAAAATGAAACTTCAATTACTGAACTCCACCCTCGATAGATTATCACATGTTGGTAAAATATGTTATTTTGAAAGTTGTTTCTAGTTTTGATAAATTATGTATTTAGCATTTGATGATGGGTCGTTTAACTTGTATCATGTATGTATTTATTGTTCAACGGAGCATTAAAAGTTGTATTTAGTGAAACATTGTTGAATACTATTCTATTCTTTTTTTTTTCTCAATTTGATTTTATTTATCTTTATGCATATCAATATAATTTACCATGATATAACTACTTCAATCATGATATAACTTTACGTTAACTTGAACATAACTTAACGGATTAAGATATTTATATCGATAAAGACAGTGAAGTGAATTCGAATCTTATTGAGATTTCAAATTCACCCAAGTATCATTAAAATTTGATGAATATTTAAAAAGTCCAATTGTGTCAAATTAGGCAGCCTATGGGAACGAGTATGGGCGGACCACGATCAATAAGAACAGGGCCTAATGAAAAATTTTGCATAAATTGGTTGAAGACTGTGGACTGGTCTCACGAACACGATAATAGCGCTCTTAATTTTCCCCTCAGAATTTTCCGATGGAACGACGCGTGATCAATACAAACGAAAGTCTGCCGGCGGAAATGTGAAGCTTCCAAGTCTGAATTTTTATATACCATATTCAGACTTCTCTTCCTTGTTTCCATATCTACAGAAATAGAAATATCAAGATATCAATTTTAACGAAAACATCATAGAAATATCACAAAATTTAGGTACACCTTTGGAAGTTTTAAAAATAAAAAATTTGCAAAAAAATATTTAAATTAATATTAATATTATTTAGTTCAACCTCAGGATTGGTGCATGTGTTAAAATAATTTTTTTTGATCTGAGATAAATCCCTAAATCAGTTGATAACTATGTTTTAGTTGGAGTTTGACAAATGCTATTAGTAAACACTGAAGCCATTTGTTTTCTAGGATGTAGAGGCCTACCATCTACAAATACTTGGAATTTCAGATACCGAAAATTTGAGATGTTTGCATCTTTAGATACCTTTGTTTTATATGAAACTTTATAGAGATACCCGAGATATCAAATGTATGTTGATCGTTAAAAACATGTTGTTTTAAAATTTATATTTTTATGATAATATATCATTAATAATATGATTCTTTCAAAATATTGAAAATAAATGGATATATTATATAATTTAATTGGAGTTTCTTTTATATAACAATGTAATTTATTAATATACTTAAATTTTTATTGAATTCTTAATTTCTAGATTTCTATTTTTAGATCATTAACTAACTAAACGACCCTGTTAACCGTCAACTACCCTGATTTGAATAGATGGAGGTGGAAAGAAATGAGAGTTTTTTGTTTTTTTTTTTTTCCGAAAGAATATATAACTGTCAACTAAAAAACTAACACGGAAAATACATGTTATCTTGTGCAGAAAGAAAAAAAATATATATATATATATTCTACAGACCATAGACTTTCTGTATTAAATTGGAGATCCTAAACATAAACTTTGTATAATACTAATCTACTGCCGCGTACATTAAGCGTAATAAAAGATTTAAAATAGCTACCTAACTCAACTATCGCTATCTATTTCACATAAATTGGTTTGTTAAAAAAACAGAACAACCTATAGAAAACAAACCGTTGGTTTTATTCTTTTAACTTTTAGTATCAAGTTTCAATTTTAAGATATTTTAGTTTTTGTTTATAACAACTAACAAGCAACTATGAACTAA